GGTTATAAATCCAAAAGGAGTGACCGCACTCTGACTGGAGCAACCTTGGAAATGGAAATACTCAGCCAATGTGGAGAGAGCAAAATGAGGGACTTCAAGCCATCTCCCATGAATCATGGAAAGGGAAGTGTTTTAGGACAACTAGCACCAGTGGAATACAACCGACTAACCGTGTCGGAGACAGTGTCGATGGATGAACCCACCGGTGGATACATGGAGATGTTGGAATACCGAAACTCGGCTAGAGGGTATGTAATGGCCCTGGAAGACGAAAAAGCCATGGAGGGTTATCTGGAAATGATGTTGCAAGGCACCACCCTCAAGCAGAAGGCGTATGGAACTTTGGCGTCGTCTGATATACAGGCGGAAACGATCGAGTAGTTAGTGAGCCTTCCATGGAAAGCAGTAGTATTGAGGTATTTCGAAGAGGAAATGAGGACTACGCCAAGAATACATGCTCTCGTGGCAGTACCTTACGTAAGGACTGAGTTACAACTCAGGTTCGCCTGGTGCATGATGGGACTGACTCGCGAAGAATATGATTCAGAAGAAAGAAAGAGATCAAAAGAAGAAAAGGTTTTCCTTATGACGAATCTGAGGGATCTGATAGTCCAGGAGGGAGCAGCAGTAGCGTGTGCGAAGCGGAGAGACGCTCTCTGTTTCATTCGATTCCTGATAGAGCAGATTTCAGTACCTGCATTAAACACTTGTGTTAAAATGTTGAGGGAAGGCGATGAGCGAACGAAAGCCTTATTCTTGCTAGCACTGCTGGATATGCAGCAAAGTAAACCGATGAGGGTAAGCATGAAAGAACCTGAAGAATTGGAACCCAGGAAAAAGATAGACGAGATCAGGAGATTCTCAAACAAGGAGTTGAGACTCACTAAAGAATCTATGGGAGCATTGCCGAAATCCAGTGAATACTGTGGACCGATCAAGAAGAAGTCATATAGCTAACGTATCCGGGATTATAGGTATAGCGTACAATCCTTTCCTGAGTGAAGACATACGCGATTGCTTCTTTGATTATGAGCAGGCGGTGTTACTAAGATTCTGGACGTCCAGAATTGTAACGATTAAGAGCGTTAACAATCCACAGGCCAAATTGGGATTGGTCTTGGAAGAAGAGGTGACTGCACCTTCAGTACCAAAATCCGACAAGAGAGTGGAGTTTGGGTTGGGATTTGAATTACTGAGAACGAATTACACAGATGAATTACTGAGAATGTGCTTGATGGCAGTGTGGGAATTGATGAGGCCATCATGGTGTCCTAGTCCCAACGCTGACTCAATATTACGGGCGACACAAGACGTACAGAGGGAACTGAATGCAGACTGTAACCTGCGTGACCTCAACATCATATATAATGTGATGATAACAGCCTCTAAGAGCAACGGAGAAGATAAAGTGGAGTTGCCTGGCTGGGGACCAGAAGACTGGGTCAAACCTGGTAGCTGTCTGGCGGAAGTCTGTGGACTGGAGGGTCACGTTTGTGGAGGTCTAGACTGTGTGAAAACCCTGGAGAAACAACACAAGCAATTGACAGTATTGTTTGGAAATGTAGTGATGAAAGCAAGAACAGAAACGGAACTGATAGCAGATTGCCATGGAGGAACCGATGTGAATCTAGTGACTGCACTAGGATTCTACAGCATGTTTGGTTCTTTAGAGTCACTATTGAATCTAGAACAGAAACATGAGATGGTCACATCCATCAGCGTAGAAGTACTTCCAGGAGTTCTGCAGACTGAGCAGAAATATATAGGAAAATGGAGGGAAGCAATCGAGACAGAAATGAACATCAGACACAGCGAAACTCATTGTAGACCATCAGGAGCACGATATTTGGTGGGTTCAACGTTGGCTCCAATGTGCAAGAGCAGATATCCTGTACATTTCGTCGCTGGACGTGAAGAGTACAAGACCGATTGTGGATCAAGCCTTCTCAGTGCCGAAGTGTGTGAGATTGGCGAGAATGTCTGAAAAGTCTTACGAGTTACTATGTAAGATGTTCTCAGCAGTCCCAGAGAGAACCAAAGAAGAATTGGAGTCAATACTAGGAAAGAAGTTCATGGGATATGTGAGCGGGAACTTCAGTGACTTTGAGAAACAGAAACAGAGAGGATCAACTGTCACAGATTACAATGCAGTAGATGAGAATGATGAAATCCACAGAGTGATGATGGAAGTGGAACCATTGCTGGAAGCTTCGGGAAAACGTAATTGGAGGAGCATCATGTTGACGCATGACGAGTTTCCTTGCCACTGCTTGCTGCAGACCTGGTGGTATCCCAAGCGTAATATTCTGATGTTGATCTGGGACTCTGGAGAGCTGCTCTCCATGGGTTTACCAGATTCATCACAGCCCGTAACAATAGTGATAGTGGGAGTTATGATGGCGATACGATGGCTGGAAGCTCATGTGAGAGAAAATAATAGACAGGAGGCGCCGACGAGAGAACAATTGCGGAAATTAGATTGTCTAAAAGATTTAGATCTTTTTGAGACAATGTGCAAAGTTCTAAACATTCCGATGGAGGTGAAGAAGATATGGGCGAGAAAACGATTGATGCCATGGTTCAGAGCTAACATGACTGCATGGTTGTACGAGTATGCGAAAAAGCATATGTCGAAGCACGGCAGGGTGTACAGTGAATATCAGCTGGACATTGGAGCAGGAGCTTTCAAGCGAGCTCTCGTGACTCATCGGAATGCAGTGACCACCGCCGTGAAAAGAATTTCCAGGACGAGTGAGCGTAGTGGAAATGAGAAGGCAGAGATGCTGAAAGAAGATTTGGAGAGAAACGTGACGTTGTTTCTCCACAATAGTTTCTGCAGAAACAGAGAATCCAAGGTGGATCCCCTACCTTGCTGTAAGCAGATGGTAGAAGAGCAGAAGTGTTGGAGGACGGCTTCCAACAGCGTCAGGATAGCCAACGATGTGCTACAAGACACGGAAACCGAAAGTGCGGAGTCAGTATCACAGGAGGAAGAAATGGAACATTGACGAATGACCGAAAAACAAGATGCAAAATGAGACGAAATTAGAAGAATTTAGAAGTTTTAGAACTTCTAAACGACAAAAAAAAAGAAGAGAACAAAGGAGTGATGAAGAAAAGTTGAAACTCAGAATTGTTTTATGTGTGTGAAAAACTCAAGTGAGAAACCAAGCAACCAAGTTGTAATTGAAAACTGAAACATTTAGTTGAGTTTTGAAATTGTTGCATTTATAAATTTGCATTTTGATTTTAGTTGAAGTGGCTTTAGAGACACTCACTTATTATTTATTTAGAAATGCTTAAGGGAAGAGTATATTTAAATATTCCAGCCTGCATGATTGTTTTTAATCACTTAGGAAGACTGATCACTTTGTGGTGACGTGGAAGGCGTGAGTAATCTCTCGAAGAGGGAGATTGTTTCATTGTTCTTTCTAACCACAGAGTTTCTTAGTTTTAATATTTAGGACAATAACAAGCAAGATTTCCGAAGGGAAGAAGCATAGTAGGATAATTTTAGCTTGTTGGTTGGCAGGACTGTCCTGCAAGCCAACACCTTTTGAATCTAAGAGAAAAAGTTTTAATCGGGACATTGACACTGGAAGTCAGAAAATATGTTTTATCTTAGGTTGTATCCTCAATGTGCAGATTAATGAGAGAATTTGAAGGCTATAATGATGTAGTATGATGCCATTTATATTCTGCAGTGAGTCGATGTGACGTGGATAAAAGTAATTTCGTGCATTTTGTAAATTCTGTTCGATGACACTGTAACGATTACGAACATTGCGCGATTCAATGAGGACATTGACCGGACTGTCCGGGGAGTATGTGACATTCGACCAGAATGTGAAAAATGCAATCTCTGCAGAATTCGGAATTTTGGCAGTGGGCCTTCCGGATTGGTGGTTTTTGAGAACTAGGAGCGTTATTGGAGCGTTTGGCCGGACGGTGAGGGCTGGAATATTCTAGTATTTTAAAATTTCAAAAATTCGAATGATGACGTCACATTTCTGAGAAACGCTGAAACGGCCATTTTAACAAAAAACGAGAGAGAAAACACAACAACATTAGTTGCGCTGACGATAACAACGATAATCGTGATTGAAAAAACAGCAGCAGATTGCAGGAATAGCAGAGGACGTTCCGAGTTGCAACTATTGTGCTGCTACAATAGTTGCAAGGCCGTTGCGAACAACGGTGAAGGGTAAGAGACAGCCCTCCGGATCAGGAAGAAATCAAGATTAGCGAGCTTCATCCAGCGGATTCATCAATCCGGAAGGGTAAAGGAACTGAAACTTTTATACTGTTACATCAACTTTTAGCTTCCTGTCATGTCCTGACTTGAATTTAATTAATATCTGGATTCATTTTGATAAGGATGAGAAGCTAGGAGTTGGGGGGAAAGGGTTGATCCATCTTCGATGGAGATGATGATTTTTATCGACTGAACAAAAACAATAGTAATATAATAAGTAGTAGCCCTGTTTTTAGGAGTGACCTCGTGGTCTGGGGATACTGAGACCCAGCCATGAGCTCACTATTTGCATGTAATTAAGTTAATTTGAGCGTTCTGGTCGAAGCCGGAGAACAGTAACGTTTTTGTCGACCCGATGTTAGAAAGACCACCGAAAAGTACTGGCTTGGTAGAGACGGTGAAAAGCATGCAAAGCTCTGTTTAGACGCTAGCCAGTCGTCTTAAGACTTAGTTTTGTTATCCGTTGATATGTATCTTCCGGGCGAATGTTACAGTCAAATGCCGGACCGTTTAGAAATTGATGGGCCTCGGTCAAAACACTCAAATTAAAATTTAAAATCGAATTATAAAAATCAAAAACAAGGAACAATCTCACCCGAGCTCAGGTCCAGCGGCGCACCACCAGACTCCTCAAGCCAGTTCCAGTTTCCCACCTCCCCACAGAAAGCCACTTGACAGACCTGTCTCTAAAATCCCTCAGAGGGCGCTCCACATACAGGCACAAACATCAAACATAACAGATCTATTTAATAAGTTTATCAACAATTAGGCAACAATTTGGCCCATCAATTTCTGCACGGAGAAGTTTGGCATAGTGTTCCACCAAAGCCTTCAAAATATCATTGTCAGTGATAGCAATCTCAACAGAATGAAGGCACACTCACAATTCTTGACCCGAAAAACGCCATCCATCGCCATTAGAGACCCTGCGGTGAATTCCATTTTCTCAGCAGAAGACTTGGCATGGTATACAGCATGTTTTGATTTAAGCTTTGCTTGCAGTTTACACTCTCGAGCCATCATCGAATCAGTCGTTTTGCCTACCTTCATCAAGGCAATAAAAATTTTGAAATGTTCGTGCTTCTCTTGCACAATGTCGTCACTTGTTCATTCCACAACCAAGTTTCAGGTCTCCACTTGGGAGTTTTTGATAGGTCGCATAGTCAAATAGCTGTTGGCAACGAGTTCCATATCCGTGTCTATCGAGTGCCTTTTGGTAAGCACCGACAGGGGAGCCGACATGTCCATTCTTCTAAGCTTTGAGCTTGAAAATGTCAACTCTCCTACTCGATAAAGTCTCCAGCGCTTCATCACTTCTAGTTTTCAGGGTACTTACAATCCAAGTGAACTCTTAACTTACTCATGACCGGAAGCTTGCTCGAAACAGCGGCTGCTCTGCCCGAGCTCCAACCTTAGATTTATGTGCTGCGGAAACCTGGGTCTTCTCTGTTGGGGGCGCCGACCCCTAGTCAGTTTCAAAGTGGATCTGACCGCCCGACAGGTTAATCATCTTAACATGGGCCGAAAAGCCTAACAAAACTGGATGATGCAAATTGTTCTCAGGGTACTTACAATCCAAGTGAACTCTTAACTTACTCATGACCGGAAGCTCATGACCTGAGGGCACTGTCTTCGGGAGCGTATCACTTGGCCCATCAATTTCTGTCTATTAGTTTTTTTTCGAAATCTGAACTAAAAAATCTGTTTAAAAAAAAGTGAAAAAAGCTATATTCATACATTTTTAGAGTTGATTATGAGCGGTGCCGTTACTGCATCTTTGTGCCTTGAAGATGGAACAGTTTATGAGGGCAAGGTTTTTGGCTTTGCTCGGAATTGTTCCGGAGAAATTGGTAAGATACCGTTTGCTTTTTGCTCTCCTTAAAAATAAAAGTTAAAAAAGTTTGCCTTTATTTCTTAAGAAATAAAACGAATTCAACGTCTATTTAAACAATATTCAAATTTAATGCAATCCTGATAGAACAGCAACGGACCTGTAGGGATCTTATAACGTTACCCCAAATTAGCTTATTAATAAATATCAGTATACAAACACTCCCTAGTTGAACATTAAATACTCAAACTTTTGTTGCGGCTATCCTTGAATATATGAAATCTCATTCTCCGGAATAATACCTACTACTACTACACTTAAAACTTCGTAAATTTTGGGAAAGTCTTGTTTTTTAAACAGTGTTTCAAACTGGGATGGTGGGCTACACAGAAGCTTTGACTGATCCATCTTATTGTGACCAACTACTTGTTTTGACTTACCCTCTGGTTGGAAACTATGGAGTTCCCAGTGAAAAAGATTTGGACGAGTATGGTCTACCGAGGGCTTTCGAATCTGAGAAAATTCATGCTAAAGCTCTAATCGTGAGCACGATTGCCGAGGACTTTAGCCACTGGGACGCGTCCATGTCTTTGTCTGACTGGCTCTTCAGGCATAAAATACCTGGTTTAACTGGTTTGTGATTAAAAGCTGGAAAATTTCGAAATATTCTAGAAATCAGTTTCGAAAGCACTTTTTTTAAATCTAGGAATTGATACTCGCGACTTGACCAAACGGCTCAGAGAAAGCGGAACAATGAAAGCCAAGGTAATTTATAGGTTTTGAATTCTAGAATTTAAATGATCATTCCTAAATTAGCTGTTCAAAAACTACTGTTTTGCTCGCAGATCGTCTTGTCTGATACTCTGCCGGACTCATTGCCGTTTGTCGACATCAACCAGGAGAACTTAGTTGCTAAAGTCTCCACTAAAGTAAGTTTTTCTGTTATTGGTTTTTTCTTAGGCTTAATAAACTTCAATTAAAGGGGTTCGTGGACGACAGGTTTTGATGAAGCTAGCGTAGACTTTTTGTAATTTTTAGCACATTTGGCATGTAAACCCTGGCGGAGACGTCAAAGTTTTGGTTCTGGACTTCGGAATAAAGTACAACCAACTTCGTTGTTTAGCAGAGAGAGGAGCTTCTCTTACTGTTGCACCCTGGGATCATGTCCCAGATCCATCAAGTAAGTCAGAGAACAATCTAATTTCGACGAAAACTTCTATTGAAAAAAGAACACTTGATTTGCAAAAAATTTGAATATCTAAAATGTTGTTTGCAGCCCAATTTTTATTCGTCGGTCTTAATTGATTGAACTGATAAATATTTTTTGGCTCTTCTAATTGGTTTTTGGCTGGCAATAAATTTTTTCTAATTTCACAGAAAAGGCATGATAGTTTCTGGGATAAAAAGAACTCAATTGGTTTTGGTTTTACGATGGGTTAATTGAAAGTTAAAGTTTCTCAAGTCGAGGTATTTTTCTTTGCGAACGCAGCGGATATACAACGAGCGTTAGCAAAGTTTGTAAAAAAAGTCACTAAGTGAAATGTAGTCTCAATAGCACTAATATCTTCTTTTTAACATTCAATGAATTCTAGTATGTCGTTTTAAATAAGTTTTCGCCCCACATAAGGCGCCCCAACTTGAGTTTTTGAAAAATTGGAATGAACTAGTGGATCGAACACTTTTGTGTTTGTGGGTCTATGTTTTCGTCTTCTTGGTTGGTTTCTACAGAGCTTAATGACTGCCACAGCGTTGTATACTTTGTTCGGTTTTCAACAGAATGCGTGCGGCGATACGAAAACCGTTTTTTGAAAATTTGGCAATAAAAAGAACAAGACTGCTCGTATCAGGGCGAAGCCCTGAATGTTCCGACTGCCTTTTAAGGTCTATGGAGCAGTAATAAAATGAAAAATTCAAACGTAATAAAATAACATCCCCCCACACTTCATATTAAGTAGAAAGTGATAGATCTAAAAACACAGTCTCTATTGGGGGACCTTCAGGGGAGGGTTTTTCAAAACATTACGAGGCCAAACTGTGCACTGGATAGGCGCGCAAGTTTGTGTCTGTATGTTCCTGGATTTCAGAGACAAGTTTTTCAACATGCTAATTTTTTTCGGAGCGCTCAACGAGAATGAAAAAACAAAAAAAGAACAAAAGGAGCGTCCTTGTTCCAGAATCCGCTTACAATTCACAAAATATACAATTGGTCCTCGTAATGAAAACTGAAAAAAATTATTACAGTTCTTAATGCAGTTTTATAAAAAATCATCAATTTTTGTATCAAAACTACCATTACGAGGCCAAACTTGTTTTCAGAATGTGGGCGGATTCTGCAACCAGGCTGGGCAAAACGTCTTTTTGTTTGGTAAAACTCTTAGCGGGTAATTTATTTTAAAAAAATTATTGTTGAAGAGGCACCACGAGTCATTCAATACTAAAACAAGTCCCGAAGTTTTTACCAAAGGTACCCTTAGGTACCACCGGTGAGAACTTGTGTCCCTGTCCTATTTCTTCTAAAGATGCCCTAGGCACCACCGGTTGAAATAAAAAACACCACCATAATAGCGGAAAATACATGCAAAACTTGCAATAGCAATATAATTGCAAGAGAGCAATTTTTTGATTGCATAACATTTGGATGTAGAATGCATCTGACAGCAAAGTGCACCAAACTTAGTAATAACGCATTGTCAGGCATAAAGGAATTGGACATGAACATACTTTTACTGTGTAACACGTGCGTTTCGGCAAACCAACAAGAAAAGATGAAGTCACTACTGGCAAAACCAGGCCCAGTAAAGGAGGAGAAACTTGAAAAAATGGAAAATGAGATGAAGAAACTTAAGGAGACAGTCTCGGAAATGAAAAACATACTATCAAAATTAGCAACACAGCCAGAAATAACACCAATTCAAAAGGAATCAAGTTTAAGCACATCGGACAAAAACAATAACAATAACCAGACATTAGGAATAAGGATAAGAGGAGTAAAAGAGAGCGATGACAAGGATCCTAGAAAGCGCCAAGAACACGACTTCTGCGAAGTACAAAAAATCCCGACTCACATGGAGGTTGAATGTAAATTCAGCGACTTGATTAGACTAGGCCAAAGAGGTAATGATCGTGACAAGCGATACTTCTTAAACTGCCAAATGTATGGCTGAAACGTTTGATCTTATCATCAGCACGAAAACTGAAAAACTATGGAGCTCCAGTATTCATAAGCCAGGAACTAACAAACGAAGAAGACGCGATAAAAAACGAATCTTTAAAGAAAAGAAGAGAACTTATAGATCAGGTGCAAAATAAGAAAGACTTTAGTGTAAGGGATGGCAAGCTATTCAAAAGAGATGGAAACCAATAGATAGTGATATCACCAAAACCTGAAACAATAGACAACAATTGATTTAGACAAAAAGCTAATCTACTACTCTATAATCTCAGAAGCATCTTAGAATATTCTAGAATGCCATCCAATCTAAAAACATCTACGATATCATTTGTCTAACAGAGACATGGTTAACTGAAAATGTGACGACAGGAGCAATATTTCTTGACAAATTTAACATCCATAGGAATGACAGGCAAAGCGTTAACGGCAAATCAAAACACGGAAACACGGAGGTGTTATAATTGCGATAAACTACGAAATACCTCAATACTGCATACCCTGAACTTTCATTGACTGCCTAATAGTCAAGCTCTTGATCAAAAACCCCGTCATTATAGCTTGCATATATTGTGCCCCCAAAGGAAACGAATACCGCTGGTCGTCAAAAACCCTATTGAGTTTTCTGTATTTTATTAGGAAAAAACAAATAGAAGTAAATGTAAGAAACGTGATGATTACTGGAGACATCAACTTTGCTCAAACGGACTGGTCGACCCTAATCTCCTCTGATGAAGACGAACAGGCCTTCCTGGACGCTCTTGCAGAACGTAACTCTCGTGAAAAAAGACAATAGACTCACATCCTTGTATAAAACGGATCATCCTCCTTAACACGCAAAACTCAACCTAATTTTTAAAAATGATTACATCAGAGAAAAAGAAGTAAATGACGGCAATGGCTTCCAGGGTTTCTCATTCTCGAAAGCAAACTGGGGCGAAATAAATCAATACATCAATGAAAACCCCTTTAACCCATACTGCTACAGCAATGTTGATCTAGTGACTGAACTGTGGTACGCTTGGCTACTTAACATAATCGAAAAGTACATTCCCTGGAAAACAAAACATTGAAGTTCTCTGGCACCTTGGGTAACATCTGAAGCATCAAATTCATCAAAACTATGGATACAATGCGCAGAAAATGTGAAAAAAACGTGACCGAATGTCACTCAGACAAACTGAAAACATTTGAAAAACACCTCGAGTTAAACTTAAGCGAAGACCAAAGAGCATACGAAGAAAACTTATTTGTTGATGGTAACTTCTCAAAATTGCAAAAATACTTTAAAAGTATTCGAAAAACAGATACAATCCCACGTGAAGTCTACCTGGATGATCAAAGAGCTACATCAAATATCGATAAAGCCAATTTGTTTAATAAATACTTTCAGTCAGTTTTTAGCCACTCCCTCTATGTAGGCGAGAATAACCCATCTCATGAATGTAAAATAGCGAATCTCCATTTGACCACAACGGAAATCGAAAAAATCCTTGAAAACTTGGATATCAACAAAGCCAAAGGACCTGATAACCTAGGAAACATTCTTTTGAAAAAACTAAGCTGTTCTATCTCTAAATCTCTATCTACTTAACGCATTTGCTAGTAAATGTGTTTTACCGTCAACATGGAAAATAAGCGAAATTGTTCCTATCTTCAGAGAGGGAGACAAACAACTTGTCTCAAACTACCGGCCAATAAGTCCGCTAACGGTTATCTCAAAGGTGTTAGAAATATTAATTTTCGATAAAATGATTTCATCAGTAAAATTTAGCATCTCAAACTCGCAACACGGCTTCCGACAAAAACGATCTACTGTTACAAACCTCATTGAGTATCTCCATGAGGTATATACTTACTATGATAATATCGAAACAAATTACCTGGCTTGCCACTACCTAGATTTCCAAAAGACATTCCACAAGGTGAACCACGCAATGATAATTGAAAAAATTAGGAGCTTTGGTTTCACAGGACAATAATTAAAGCTACTAAAAAATTATCTAACAGATAGAAAACAAACCGTTCGCATTGGACAAGCAGTATCCGAGCCATTACCAGTACACAGTGGTGTGCCTCAGGGGTCAATTCTCGGACCTTCGATGTTTATTCTCTACATAAATGACCTACCAGATTGTGCAATGTCAGCAAGTCTTACAAAATTTTTTGCAATGACCCATTAATTTTAAATATCGATGCGAAGAGAATTTGTGACTGGTGTGTAAAGAATTCTATGGCAGTAAATGTGTCAAAAACCAAAATTCTCAGTGTGAAAGGAAATGCAAAAGTTGAAGTAAATGGAACTGTTCTTGAAGAAACAGCAGAAATGAAAGATTTAGGTCTTATAATCACTAGCACATTAAGTTGGACTGAAAATGCTACAAATAGATCTGCCAAAGCTCTGAAGACATTATGCTCTGTTAAAAGAAACATCTCCAAAATAACAACAAATGCCATGAAGTTAAAGTCATTCAAATCATATGTTGCACCTATAGTAAGTTATGGCTCATCATTATGGAAACCCTCAAAAAGAGATCTCAAAATATTTGAAAGTGTACAAAATAAAGCAACAGCATGGATATTGAGTCCAACTCAAGAATACAAAGATCGATTGATTTCCCTACATATCCTTCCTCTGTCACTTTATCATGAACTACACATTCTACTGCTACTGCACAAAAACTGGAAAAACTGACCTACAATGGAAAAAATCCATAAGTGTTAAGGAAAAAGGACAAACAAGATTGCGAGTATGAAAAAATACGAAAGCAAACAATTTCGAATGCAAATTTCGGAATCTGACTTTTCCTGAGAGCCTGCAATATTACGAACGCCTTGAATGAACACCTCAAATTCGATATCATGGAGCACGAAAACATAAAAGAACTAATAACGAATGTTTTCTGGAGATATTTTAAAGAGAAATTCAACGAAAACGATCCATGCTCGTGGAGAATTGACTGCCGATGCATGAACTGTAAAACATTAGAAAACTCAACTTTTAAAACTTTTGATTTGACAAAAACTGAAAATGAGCTAATTCCCTTGGATTTATTTTTCCTAAATTCTTGTTTATTATTCTTATTATTGTTATTATTATTATATGAGCGTCCTTGAACCAACTTGGAACGATTTCTAAGACGGATTACATCTCGCTTACGCGTTAATAGCGCGAAATATATCGTGCGTTAGTTGTCCCAAATTGGTTGTCTTTAAACCCCCATAACTTTACGAAAAATCATCACAGGTAAAATATCTTTTCAAATTTAAGCTCAGGACAACAATAGCTTTCGAATGATATCAAACAAATTCCGTCAAAATTTGCTAGTGAAAAAGTCAAAATTTGTCTGAATAAAAAATTAGCCCTCCTCGAGCACAAATTTTTCGTTACTTTCGTTACGAAAGTCGGAACAATAATACAGCCGTTTGGTGCGCACGTACAGAGCTGAATAAAATTATCCGGACAAAATGAATAAAACATGAGTATAGAAATAAAAAATGATGAAGGCAAAACTTCGAATTCGCTTAGAATTTCAGCAGAATTAATATGGTGCAATTTGTTTTGCAATATTCGGACCCAAATTGTTCCCCCAAAAATGGATCATTTTTGGCTTTTTCAATCTACCAAAAATGACACCAAAACTGTTTGGTCGATCACTGACATAATTATATCAAAGTGAGGCTCTTACGTAGCCCAACAATAGCCCAACAACTTGTAATTTTAACGAGGTTATACTCTCCAAAACGTTATTTTTTAAAACAATTTGCGCTATGTTTTTGGAAAGTATACCCTAGTTTACGCAAGCAATGTGTTATAGTATGAACTCACTTTTTTTCCAAGCTAAGTCGCAAGAATTGTTGCGACAAAATCTGTTCATTTTGCAATTGTTCATTTTGATCAATAACCAGCTATTAAGTACAGCCAATGCTAAGGATATTAACACAGACTATTATATTACAAATAGCACTTTAGCTACAAGGTATCGTGGATCTGTAGCGAAGAGGGTTCGAACCTGGTCAGGGTTGGATGTTTTTTTAATGATTTTTTTCATATACTAGTTAAAATGCGTCCGCTGTATAAATGGAGGCATGTTAATTGGTAAATTTATTTTCGTTTTCAAGTTTACTGGTACTGCTAATACGTCATAATTGGCTTGCGTCACCTAGGAATTATGTAGCCTCATAATTGGCGTGCGTCACTTAAGAAATTTTGTAGACTCAAAGTTTTACTCATTCTTCCCAGTAGGTCCCATTTGGTCATATTTTCGCTTGTGCATGCGAAGTGCAATTCTGCCTCTGTGTAAAATTTGTTGGGCTCCGTAAGAGGCTCACTTTGATATAATTATGTGAGTGATCGACCTAGTAGTTTTGATGTAATTTTTGATTGACTGAAAAAGCCAAAAGTGATCCTTTTTTGGGGTAAAATTTTGCGCCCGAATATTGCGAAACAAATTGCACCATAATATATCTGCTGAAATTCTAAGCAAGTTTCGTCTTCATCATTTTTACCTAAGGTCAATCAAGTTTAAGAAAAACGTATTTTACTTTTCTAGCTCAATGTGTTTTGTCCGGATAATTTGAATCAGCACTAGTACAGAATGTTTCGGCCTTCTTTTTTCCATCTTTCTTTTTTTTTTTTCGGAAAAGGACATTTGAATAATCTAAAAAAACTGCAAGAAGAGAGTCACTTACTGATAAACGACGTATAAACAGCTGTAGAATTGAGTTGGGTAAATGTTCTCAATGTCGAACTCAGCGTCACAAGTTTTGTAAATTTGTTCTGAATGTCGAGAAATGACCGACCAAAGAACAAACAGTTTTTTTTTCGGAAATCGAATCACGATCAATAGGGCTTTAATATTATACCACTCTTGATCCCTACGAGATTTTTCGGAGCTAGTCAAAATGCGGTGGAAGATTACATATTCTAAGCCATAGTTCCTGCACTCTTCGTAAAGAAAGATTTTTTGCTGGACTTGAAAATGGGGAGGAACCTTTGTTTTCATGTGAGTTTAAGTCTTTTCTTTCGTTTTCCGCAAAATCAGGTACCAGACATAATCATGGAATTCTAAATGAAGTCTAAATTCGAACGAGTAAAGCGAGCGAGTTAGGTCCTATGAAAGAAAATTTTCCATTGAAATTGTGAAAAACCTAATTTTCCTGCAGGAATAGCTTTATGTAACATTCCTTGGCAAGCTTCTTGTAGCATTTAATAGCTTCATGTAACATTCCTTGGCAAGAGTTGTCCAGCTAAAAAATTAATTAGTTATTCGGATTTTTTGTATTGTTCGTTTTTTGAAGACTAATGGCGTTTTTGCCTAGTTCGTTTTTTTTCTTATTACACCACGCACAGAAAACGGCACTATTTCGAAATAAAATGAAATGTTAAATGTTGGAACATCCTCTGGTACACATAAACTGGCTATTCTTGTTCAATTTTCAAATTGGTCATAGCACTTCGCAATTTCGGTATTAAAGCAGGTAGAAGTTAAGCATATTCTCATTTCAAGACTAATTTTGCTGCTTTTTTTCTGGGAGTACTTTTTGTTTTGAGACTTCAATTTACTAAGGAAACTGTTATTCAACTTGCTAATGTAAATCTTACTCTTATTATACTCTAACTATATTATTTCATCAGGTTTTGTTGATTTTAGAATTCGATGCTCTCTTTTTGTCCAACGGGCCGGGTGACCCCGAAAAGTGCAAAAAAGCTGTCGACAACATCAAAAAGGTCATGAAAGTCTCCTCCTCTCAGAAGGTGATGCCAATTTTCGGAATCTGTTTCGGAAACCAACTGCTGGGTTTGGCAGCTGGAGGCCAAACATATAAACTGAAGTATGGAAACAGAGGACATAATCAGCCGTGTGTGCATTTGAAAAGCGAGAGGTGTCTGATAACTAGTCAAAATCACGGCTTTGCGGTGGATTCGAACTCGCTTCCTAAGAGTGACTGGAGCGTTTTGTTTGAAAATGCTAACGATAAAAGCAACGAAGGGATAATTCACAACAGTCTGCCTTACTTTAGGTTTGTTGGTTTAAAGTTTTTTAAACAATTTTTAAGAAGGCCCTTTTGTCGTACAAATATCACTGTGCAGATTGGACAGCCATATCAAAGCTGTGTAAATATATTACAAATCTAGTCAAGATTGAAAGCATCACATAAACATGTCATTTAAAATCTGTTTTCATCTATCAAAAGAAGTATGGATTTTTCGTTTCATTTTTTCCGACCTTCTGAGTGAGACTTAGTGACTTCAACTTGTAAAATTCCTGTTTTGGTAACTATTTCGAGTTTCAATTCTGGATAATGTATTAAGGTTGTATCGTTCACCCGAAGGTAAAATTTCTTTTCTTGCAATCTTCTTTCATTAGTAATGGATATTTGTTGTGTTTGCATTGTAGCGTGCAGTTTCACCCCGAAGGTAGAGCTGGTCCGATGGATTCTGAGTTTCTGTTTGATGTTTTCATGGATGTCGTCAGGACACATGTGAAGCCAGGGTGAGGACTAGTTGGACACAATTATTTAACCAAAGGGAGATCTCATTTCCAAAATCAGATTACAGTGCACAAATCTGAAAGAATGATTTATAAATCGAAGGGCAGGAAATCTACTCTTAAAATTTGATTTTGATCATTTTTGAAAAACGACTGTCTGATCCCACTAAAAGAGTCTTATAAGTTGATTTTTTTCTGTAGAATATTATTTTATGCGATGTAAGTAGCGGACTATTTGTTTTTTTTTGTGCCGTTCGGTTCGAATGTAACTGATTCTTCTTTTTTTTAGAAGAATTTTTTCTTAGTTATGTAGTCAGAAATAAACCTTGAGGTTGATTATTCACGACTAACTAAGATTACCCAATTTAAAAACTCACCTTCTAATTGCTAGGCTTGCATCGCTTGCATAATATCTCACCTGGTATCGTAATTGTTTATTTTAGAGCAGAGATTGTGGCTGTGTCCGATCGAATTTACGAGAAACTGAAACACCACACCGTATACGAAAGAGTAACAAGTTCTCTCGACAGCAAAATCAAAAAGGTATGTTGGTATGACTTACTTCAAATCTAGCAAAAGTTTAAGATATAGATAAAAAAATTTCTTGGCTCTAATACATTTTTTGTGCTATTCCATTATAGACTACGCAGTTAATTAAACAACTTCACAAAATATAAAAATAACTGTTTGGAAGAGAAGAGTTATAAATTTTGGTTACGAAGGAAGTGAAAGAGGATATGGAGTTTTAATGTGATTTTTACCTCGAATTTGTATATCGCCTCTAAACTGTTGACAAATAAGCTTAACTTCTGATCATTTTCCGTCTTTTCCAGGTGCTGTTGCTGGGCAGTGGTGGTCTGTCTATCGGCCAGGCTGGTGAATTCGACTACTCTGGCTCTCAGGCCATCAAGGCACTCAAGGAGGAGGGACTGAAAGTGGTACTTGTCAATCCAAACATCGCAACTGTCCAAACTAGTAAGTGGGCTCCGGTTTCTACTTCACCCCCTCTCCTCCTCCGTATACTTGGATTTCAACTTCAATGAACCTAATTTAACGCAGTCATGACACATTGAAAGTTTGCATGTTGAACAAAATGACATTTCTGAACTCATTTGCTCTTAATACTGTACATCGTAACATCGCACATTGCAAGGCACGTAAAACAGCGATTAAAACAGAAATTTTGGAAACAGAAATGGGTCCGTCTATAAGAACGATTAAAACAACGAAGTGATGACATCTTCCCCAGGGAATAAAAGGTCCTAGCTTGAAAGGCGGGAGCTAAGCCCGGGGTTTATAAAAAAATAAAACAACGATATAACAACAATAGTTATTCTTTCAGGTAAAGACTTAGCCGATGAAGTGTACTTTGTGCCTATTACTCCCGAGTATGTGGAGAAAGTGATCATATCGGAGCGACCTCAGGGAATTCTTCTCTCTTTCGGAGGGCAGACTGCGCTTAATTGTGGAGTGAAGTTGGAGAAAGAGGGTGAGGAAATTTTGGTCCGATTTGGCTGTTCATTGCGGGTTGTAGAAGCAAAAAATTACACTGTACCCAAAAATATTGAATTGTTACTTTCAGTAAGTTTGTTTTGAAGCTGTAATTTCCAAAGAAATACACATCAGAATTTTAAATATATAATTTTTGTTTTAATACATAAATAAAGAAAGCATGTGCTATTGAATCCAGAGGTAGATGCAGGGCTTTAGTTCCTATTTTAGACATCTTCAGAAACTGTTGATTGTAGTAGTTAGTTGTAATTGCTTGTAATCTAGGTATCCTGGCAAAGTATGGCATTAGAGTGTTGGGGACGGCAATTGAGTCGATTGAAGCGACAGAAGACAGGGCAATATTCAGAGACAAGGTGGAGGAGATAGGCGAACGGGTGGCCCCCAGTGCGGCAGCCTTCACAGTACAGGTGGGCAGATTGGGTTGTTGTTGTTATGTTTTTGTTGCATTTTTTAAGTCCAGAGTGGAGGCGTCCGGCATGCTCAAACCTAGCCCTAGAAACGTCGCAACATCGGTCGGATGAAGCCACTTGTTGATATGGGGGAGTCTGACGAACGATCTTTTTTGGATTTTCCCGCAGCTGATTCTAAATCTAAGCGTTTTGGGCTGTCACACCATTAACCGTAATATGATTTGAGAAAAAAGGGGATTTTTCCTTTTTTCGGCAGGTGGAATAATGTAAAAATTTATGAAACATGAAATTATCTCCACCTTAGTAAAATTGACATATCATATCACAACAATAAGTTCTTTCACCCCCTCCCCACATTCGATTTTAAACTCTGAAAAACTAAATTAAAATTCTGAAAAACTAAATTAAAAAGTCGTACTGAAACATAGCATGCTGAACAAATTATTCAGTGCATCCTTTAAAATTATTTATTCTGCATACTTAACAGCTAAAAAGCACGCATTCAGCCAGACTAACTTGTAAAAGCACGCTGACAATGGGCGCTTTCAGGTGTAGAAGAGGGAGTAAGAAAGATCCCAACGATCATACTTGTTATGTCACCTTTTTTTAGGAGGCAATAGATGCTGCAAAGATCCTAGGATACCCAGTTCTAGTGCGAGCTGCCTTTGCCCTCGGAGGTTTGGGCTCTGGATTCGCTCATGATGAGGTGGAGTTGAAGGAATTGGCCACTCGCGCTTTTACTCTTACGAGTCAGGTGACTTATAGCTTTTTTACTGAAGCGAATAGGATTTTTCTGTTGGATCCTTTTATATGAATTCTGATTCTGGTGTCTCTTCTTAAGTCAGATTTTAATCCCGAACTGAATTAAGCATTATATTGGACACCTCTTCTCTACTTGCTCGTTTGGCTTTTAAACCGGAGGTGGAGCAATAAGCAAGAAAGTCTAAAAGCAGAAGGGACCGTCGAGCAGAAAAACTGAAAAATGTTGACTTTTGCAGGCTAATTGGTAAAACAAGTATCCAAATATTACCAAAGAAATGAGAAATTTATTCACAAATGAGGAATTTATTCATAAAATCAGCCCTTTGATGATCAAATTTTCTTCTAATTCATAAAGATAAAACTTGATGCAATAATTAATTTATGTGTAATTTATCTTTTCAATGGTAGTATTTAAATATGGCGAAAATGGAGAGGAACTTCTTATTTGAGAATGGAGAGAAAAGTTCGAAAAAGTAGAGTTTTTGAAGTTTTTGTTTCTTTTTTTTTAAATTCATTTTTTGAAGACGAATGTTAACCATCATGCCTAATTTAATAATTGTCTACGCGATCGTATAGTCCTCGAAACACAACACGCACTAAAAACGACACTAATTTGAAGAGAAGTTTTTTTTTGTAGTGTTTTATGAATATGGTCGGAACATATTGTGCTACTTGCACAGCAACCGGCCATACTTGTTACCTGGTGCTGCAATAATAATTCGACTGCAGTAGGCTCTTTGACTGTAATCATGGCGTATCTTATTGTTTATTCTGTAGGTGTTGATTGACCGGTCTCTGCGTGGTTGGAAGGAGGTGGAGTATGAAGTGGTGAGGGATGCATACAACAACTGCATCACAGTCTGCAACATGGAGAACGTGGACCCTCTAGGTATGTGAATTTCTCACTGTTCTGGCATGATTGTTTTCAACAAGGGGCAGAATTCATTGCTGTTGCTCTTTGTACAATGATAGTAGATTGTTTTCAGGCATATAAAATAATTCAAAAAATTTGACTTGGACTAATTTTGAAATATCTAGTGCATGAATCTTCATAATTTATACAGATCCGTTTTCAGATGTCTATGATTTTTTTAAAATATTTTTTCCTTTTTTTTTTCTTTTTTCAATACTCATTGTTCCGACCATTTCAAGTAGTGGGAAGGAAGAAGAATGGCGTGGTGTTTTTTCCGGTCGATTTTAAGTACCGATAGGGAAACTTTTAGGGGCTTGAGTGTAGTGTCATGTTAAAGACATTTCAGCCGTAATTTGGATTCGAAACAAGTTGCAAAATAAAATATTTTACAAATTTTTTTATTTCTTTGTTTTGTTTTTCATTTCTCGATGATAAATTTAGCCAATTATGATCAATTTATCTACGTTCTAAATTTGTGTTCAATTCTTCTTATGACGCCTTTTCCATAAAATGACTCAATTTGAAAATAGAGCTTTTTTTAAGTTTTTTTATGAATATGGTCGTAACTTTCTGTGCTACTTGCACAGCAACCGGCTACTCTTGTTGCATTTCGTATGTTTTCTTCGATTGTTTGTTCATCTTAAACCATTTGTTTAATAAAAAGTATATAATAAGTACTCGAGTCTTTGTTTAAATTGCACAGACTGATGGCTGTTTGATTTCAGGTATCCACACAGGAGAGTCCATAGTAGTGGCTCCTAGTCAGACGCTGAGCAATGACGAGTACAACATGTTGAGAGACACTGCTCTGAAAGTGATCAGACATCTCAATGTGATTGGAGAGTGCAATATACAGTATGCGCTCAATCCCGAATCCAAGGAGGTCAGTAAACTTACGAATGTTTTTCAAATATTGCTTATTGTATTAAATAAGCAATATTTGATATAATAAGCCAAAATCAATATTTGAATTGCAAATATTGCTTCTTATTTTTCAAATTTCTCGAATATATCTAAGCTTGAGTCTATAAAGGTTTTAACTCCAATTGTATATTAAAGATTCATTTCTAGGGTACCTATCTATATGAAAGTTTGAGAATTTTTGTTTGTTTATTGAACAATTTTTTTTTTCAACTCACGCATGTGTATAAAATTCTTTTTTGGTTAGTGATGTTGAAGATATTTTACACGATCCTTATGTTTCAGTTTTTCATCATTGAAGTGAATGCTCGTCTCTCCCGTAGCTCTGCACTGGCTAGCAAGGCCACCGGATACCCTCTGGCATACGTCGCTGCCAAACTCAGTCTAGGTATATTAAATTGTAATACATCACCAGTTAATTCATTATTGGCGGATTTATAAATTTCTTTTACCGGAAAACTAAAGAATACTGTAAAATTTTAGTTTCATGAGGTTTCGATTTCAGTTAAGGCCTATTTTGCAATTTTTGCAGACCGTGATGTGTAATTTTTCACTCTTAGCTACTTTTTGCTTTTTCCACTTGTAGTCGCGAAGCACAGCTTTGATTCTGTGTCTGTGAAACTGTTTATTATTTCTCGAAATAGTAGATTTTAAATGAAAATATATCAATAGAAATTGTAACAGAAACAGAAGCTACTCGTTTCGTTATTTCATCATGATCGTTGTTTTATAGGTAAGTCTCTGGTTGAGCTGAGGAATTCGGTGACTGGAGATGAAACCACAGCCTGCTTCGAACCCAGTCTGGACTACTGTGTCGTCAAAATACCCAGATGGGATTTGAACAAGTTCCTTAAGGTAGCTTACACACGAATGTCCCACGTTTCGCCCTTCACACATTTCGCATATTTAATACCTAATCAGCCCAAAATCGAAAATATAAAAACTTGGAGACCAGAAGTGATAATGTAAATAATTGTTTGATCACTTCGTAACTCTTTCAATTAGTCAATAAAATGATTTCAAATTATTTTGGAGAAGTAAATATTGTGACCGTAAATTATACGAAATCATGGGAAATGAATTTTGTTATAGTAACTTGATGATTTTTTTTGTTCGTAGGTGAAGCCCCAATTAGGAAGTGCAATGAAAAGTGTGGGTGAAGTGATGGGCATTGGAAGAGGATTTGAGGAGGCGTTCCAGAAGGCACTCCGAATGATGAACGAGAACCTGCTGGGATTCGATCCGTTCATGAAGTCCGTCAACGAGGAAGTAAGTTATGAGTACTCGTTTTTGGTGAATAATTTAGTTAGCAGAGTGCTAAATCAGCAGATAGTATAAATATTTGGTGGGTATGTTTTTTCTATCCTCCGTATAATCGTGTCTTTCATGATTAATTTGCTAAATTTAATGATCATTTGGAGTTTTTATAGTTTTTGAAGACATGAATTTATGTTTTTTCCTACTGAATAGTTTTCCCCAATTGTTAATTAACATAAGTTATGCAATTGTCTAGAAGCAGCGGTTGAGTATGACGGAGGTACGAAACAATTTGTGTTGATTTCTGCTCCGTTGTCACCGTAGACATTTAACCCATTCTTAACCCACTTAAAGCTGAATGCTTAAACTAAAGCATCCCGTTATCCGCGCACGATTGCAAAGCATCAATATGGCTTTAAAGTTTTTTTATCACTATTTTTGTTTCTCAACTTTTGCTCAATATATAAAAGCTTGGCTCTAAATTTGCTTGATTTTTGCTTTAAATTCTACGTGCAATAAGATTCGGACCTGCTAGTTTTGATAGGGTGTTACTAATTAAACAGAAGATATATCCCAATAATTACCCTTGCGATAGCAAGAGTATTGCAATCGGGTACTAGACTTTTTTCCCGTAAAACAATTGGACTCCTGGTGGTACCTTACTTGGTTCATAATGAATTGAAATTTTGCAGTGTCTTCTGCACACTTAGCCTGCTGGTAACGAATACTCCTAGGACGGTAAAGGTTAGGGGTTCGAGTCTGACCAGGACCAGTTTTTTTTTCAAACGGTAAATGTTCCGGTTCGAAAAAAATTCGGCCTATTCTTTGTCTGCTTATGCTTTGTCAGCTTAGTTGCCTTATCTAACAATCTTTTATTTTAGCTGAAAGCAATTTTCACTGCAGTTGTTTTCAGCTTTTTAAAAATCCGGCCGAATCGAAGTTTGATTTTAACATTGTTTGTAATTTTACCGGCTCGATTTGTTGAATTTTCTTTTTTTTCGACATTTTTATCGGCTTAATAAATGTCGGCCTAATTAATATCGACTTAATGACCTCTTATTGCGTCGTTACGTCCGAAAAGTTTTTGTGCGCGTGTTTGTGTGCTCTAAGGGGAAATTTTTTAAATTTTAGAATTTTTTTGAGTTTCTTTTCGGCATGAAGGGTTTACGCTCAGGTTTTTCGGCTTTGTTACCGCTTGGTAATTATAAATTCAAATCCAATCAAACATCCTTCGCATCTGGCGTAGAGGTAAAAAAAACAGCATGAGACGGCAAAGGTTTGCGGTTTGAATCCGGCTGGGCTCTCTTTTTTGTGCTTTTTCGGACTATCGTCCGTCTGTTTATATTTGTCGGCTTATTTCCCGTACTCAATGGTTTTGCTTTATTCCAAGTTGCTGTAGTTTCAATGCTTGAGACGGCAAAGCCCGGGAGTTCGATTCCAGTTGAGACCTGTTTTCTCGTAAATAGAGATATATATGGCTAATTTAGATTGTCTGTCTGCTTAGTTCCGCAGAAAGGACTTTTTTTGACAACTTGAATTCTTTATAGCATTCCCAAAGCTATTCTTAGAGTTTCTAATGGTGCAGGCACTTTTGTTCCGGATATTTTGGACTTTTGTTGTAATTGTTATTGACAAAAACGATTTTTTGATTTTTTCCGTTTGATTTTCATTGGCATTCATATTTGTATCGCAAGTGATGCGAAGCTCAGCTTCGCCTCTGTGTTAAAATATTCATTCAAATATTTTCGATAACTTTGATTTAAGTCCCAGTTTTGATTATTCGGTTCATTCAGTGTGATTCTGATTTGTCTGTTCATCATTTTAACGCATGTTAAGAGTAATGAACGTAGTGAAGACTTGTATAGGTCTCAGTGATTTTTTTGTTCGTTAAGAGTCGACGAAAGTATTTCACGTTCTTACACTAGTGGACTAAATTAAACGCAAACTCAGCTTGTCACTCTCGTGAAACGCCTGTTTTCAATGTCCAATTTTATTAACATTTACTTCAAAAAATCTTACATAGACCAAGAACAGATGATCAAAGCTACCTTCTATGAAACTGTCATTATTGGCTTTCAAAGATTTACCAAGGTAATTCCGGTCTGAAAATGCCAGAATTTTTCATCTGCACTAAGTTTGGCATCGTAGTGAACTTTTTCTCAAATAAACGGAGTGAAAAAGTTGTTACTTAACTCGGCTGTTACTTACTTTATCACGCAGATTGAATGAGGAAAAACGGCCTTTTCAGACCCAAATTACATTGGTAATTCATTGAATCCAAATACTTATAGTTTCATAGGGTAGCATTGATCATTTGCTCTTGATCTATGCAAAAATTTTGATGAAAATCGAGTAAATATTGTTCAAAATGCATTTAAGAGAGTAAAAATCTGAGTTTGCGCTCAATTTTATCCACTAGTGTCTATAGGTCGCAATGAAAGGAAAAGTCTTTGTGTTCAGGCTCAAATTTAATTTTTCGCGGTTCGACTTTTGATTTTTTTGTAAGTCATTTCCTGTGTTAAAAGGAAGACAAATTCCACTCGAACAGCAAAAACGTAAAGGTCACGAAAAACGGGATCAACTCCTATTTTCGATGATGGTATTTAATTACCAGATTTCCCAGCGAAAATAAAAGTTTTTCTATTGATCTAGTTTCTCAAATTGGGTTAATTAAATGAAAAAATTGCCAATCAAAAATTGTTGAAGAAAAGCAAAGAACTTAAGGGTCATCCATCTCTTTTTTTTGAAATTTCCTAGCGTCCATTGCTCTTTTCCAACTTTCAGTTTGCTATGTTTATCAATGTGGCTTTTTTCGATACTATGTGTGCTAGATATTTGGGTCGAAACGTCTCGATGAATTTGAGAGTGGTGAAGGGTTTTCAGACTCATTTTAATACAGATCACATCAAATTAGTCCGAGTTTCCATTTGTATGCGAACTAGCTTGTACCACCATGGAATTTAATAATAAGGGGTTGAACTGTTTTCAGGACCTGAAGGAACCTACGCATGAGCGTATGTTGGTGTTGGCAGCTGCAATGCACGAAGGTTACAGTATAGATGAGTTGTACAACTTGACCAAAATTGACAGATGGTTCCTAAACAGACTGAAGAATATTTCAAACATCACTTCGGAGTTACTTCAGCTCAAGGTATACATGTACAGAGATCGTATAAAAATTACAAATTGCGTCTCAAAATGAAGTCATATAAGTTAACAATTAAAATTTTGTTTTGATTGGAAGAAGTTACAGACAAATAAGTCCTTTCCTTTTTGGTAAATTTTGTTGATTGAATAAAATAAATGCGATCGTCACAATGTCGAAACTTACAGCGTTAAGTAAAGTAAGAGATTGCATGTAAAACTCTACATGTATTGTAGTTTTTTTTTGGAAAATCAGGATATTATGAGTATATGCGTAAAATGTTAATTGAGTATATATTAAATTAAAATGAGCCGAAACTGAATAGTTCTGAGAGCTCAGTATCTTGTGACATCAAATAAAAGAAACAATGTAGAGTTTTGGATGCTTTTTCTTAATTTGACTAACGCTTTAAATTATACTTTCTGGTCGCATTAAAGCCTCGTTTCAGAAAAAGTAGGGAAATAAGATTTATAAAATTTTATGGATTTAAAACTTCGAGAAAATTGATGTTCCGTTCTCTACGTTTGACGCTTTCTGTCTTCGTCATTTGCTGGGTTTAACTAAGTCATATCAATCGTGATTTATTACTCATAGTTCGTTCGGTTTTTAACGAATGAATTTAAATGTACATCCCTTTTTTCGAACTTCCGATTGGAGCAATGACCAAGTGTTCGTGTGTCAAGTTGCGCCATGATGCTCCGTAATTCTTGCTTTAACGTGCAAACTTTGGTTAAACAGAAAATACTCGCTAAAATGAGTGCATGTCGTAATGAAGGCATCAACAGCGGTTTTCTGATATGAGCTGAATAGCTCTTACGTTGGTCTCTTTCCCTCATGTAAAAAGGGTTTATACTTCGTTGAGAGCTCAATACAATTGAAGGTCAGTACAGATTTGCTTGACTGTTCTTTTATTACACTTGCGAAGGGAGTGTATTAGTCCGAACCTTTTTTCCAACCTAAGTCGCAAATATTGGTACCACTTTTCGTTCACCTTTACAGCTTTTTCATGTGCTTTGACATTCGAATAGTAATAAATTAACTCAGTTGATAATTTTTTAATTGATCAAAAGAACCGAAAAAACCTATTTGTTTCAAATAACATCACAATATTAAAAACTCGATTTCAGAATTTTTTTAACTCAATATATCTCGCAATTTTTTGAAAAGCAGCTTCGCCTCTGTGTCAAATAGTGGTTTTCGCGAAGAATTTCTTAAAGCAAAAAAGTATGAATTAATGTGAAAAGTACATAATAAAGTATCACAGGGCAGACTGTAAAGTGGATTTCAGTCCAGTTGTCTGTGCCCTACTAGTCTCGTTTTTTATATTAGGTGTGCTTTTATACTTTCGCTGTCTTTTCCGATAAAATTTAAATTCTTGCTTTAAGTCTTGTTCAGCGTCTTCTACATGTTTTTAGAGGGTTCCTGATAACGTCAGTTCTCTTAGCAGAGAGTTACTTCTCAAGGCCAAGCAGTGTGGCTTCTCAGACAAACAGATTGGATCATACATAGCAAGGTACGTAAATCTTCATATTCACGAATGCGTACTGTACTGTACAACTGATGACTCGAACCTGTCTGAATGCTAGTAGAGCTTATTTAGTTTCAGCGTCTTTACCGCTAGACCACACTACTGCTGGATTAAGCTGTATTGAAAAATTATATTCCAGTTTGGCGATTATTCAGATAAACAGTTGGTTTTTAGCTGCATTTGCTGTTTTTTTTTGTTTTTAAATACGGAGGCGGTTTTTGGTTTGCTCTGTCGTGTTAAAGAAAACGTCAAAATATATTCACGCAAATTTTTAACAAGGAGTTTTTAGCACCCTTTAATGTTACTTAGAGGTAAAAATCTGACGGTATTGTAGTAAAAGGCAAAAATACAAAATATAACTTGGCTGTTCACTGCTTGTTATATCTACTTCACAGTTATCGTTCTGAGTGTTTTTCTCGTGTCATCTCTATGAAAATTGCGCATTCAGTTTGTTATCGGCCTATTTATATTTGATATGCTTGAAAAAAAAAATTCAAATTCTCCCAACGAAACAAACTTGCATAAATTAAATTTATTGAAGCAATGGAAAAGGCTCAGAATTTTAAAGAACATGCCCGCTGCATTTAATCACTCAATGGGGCCATTTTAAAAAACTGAAACTGAATTGTAAACAAGTCTGGAAAACGTTCTAATTAAGAGTAATGAACCTAGTGAGTACTCTGATATAGGTCTTGCCGTTTTTTTTTTTTTTTTCAGGAAAAAGTCACACTCAATTTGTTCACACTCAATTTTGATTTTTCGTGGTTTGACCTGTGATTTCTTCTTAATTTCAGTGCATTTCTATTGTTAAAAGGAAGGCAAACTCCACTATCGAATGGCAAAATTGTAAAGGTCACGAAAAATTAATGGACTTCTAATTTCGAAAATGGAAATTAATTATCAGATTTCTCAGCGAAATAAAAGTCTTACCTATTGATCCATTTTTCTCAAATTGCTTAATTTTAACAATGAAGTGTCCATCATAAATTGTTCTACAAATTCAAAGAGCTTTAAGGTCATCTATTTTTTCCTTCGAATTTCAAAAGTTAGATTTTTGAAAAAACAAGTCGATTTTTTTCAGTTTTTTTCCGTTCATTATTCTTTTTCAAGTGTCAGTTGGCTATGTTTATATTGCTATATCTTTGATATATTTGTTCTTCTGAAAAATGATTTCATGTTTTTGTGGATGAACAAGAAGAAGAGACTTCATTTATCTAAAATTATGTTGTAACTAACTATAATCATCATCTGGTTTCCAACCACATACAAACAAAGATATCTAAAATACGAGTTACATGAAATGGGAAAGGATAGAAGAAGGTGCATAGCGTGCTTTTTGAAGGTCTACCCTCTAGTCAATTAGTTTTTAGTTAAGTTAATATTTGAAAAAATCACACTAATTTATTTTGAGCGGTCATTAATTTTTTAGCGCAAGTCAGTAGCAGACAGCCAAGCTACCATGGATAATAATGGACGATGTATCAATAACCGCAACAACTAATGGATAATCAAAAAAAGAAAAAATACCAATTGTTTTTCGAAATGCGATTATTCTTAAAGATAAAAAACAAGAATCAAATTTAACGGTTGGAAGAGCAAAGTTACGTTAATAACCCTCTACCAAGAAAATGAGATTTTTTTAAATAATTTTTTTTTGAAATTTAGAAAATATGCGATATCTCGAATACGGTGCTAGAGATTTTATCAGACCGGTTTTTTAGCAGACCAATCTTTTAGCAGTTTCAGAACAATTATAAAGTCAGAAAGCTAAATTCAAAAGCGGCATTGGCGATTAGCGGCCGCTTGCTCCGCTGCGCTTCAATTCAACACTAGTGTTATTGTGCGCGTAAATCTTTGTTTTGCCGCTAACTTAGACTGTTGTGTTTTTGGAGTTGATAGTTATGTTGACAAACCGAGAGATAATTGTCTTAATTGGGGAAGCGTGATCCCAGACTGAGCGTGATTTTGAGTCTGTCAATCAATCATGTATCACTTTATTAGGATGGTCTGCTTAAAGACTCAATTTTCACTTTTTTGCTAAAAGATTCAAATATCACTTTTTATGCTAAAACATTGGTCTGATAAACGATCGGTCCCCCTCGAATACTACCATGAGTTGGATCTTCATTTTTTCAAGCCAGATTCGCAACCCTAAATTGATCAGCTGATAGCATTTATATAATGCGTAAATAATAATTGCTTCGAATAAAGTCTAATGAATTATGTGCTGTACCAGTTCGTTATTACCAAGTATGATGTTGTTTTTATATTTACAAACTAAAACAATTTCTTCATTCACTGTCATTTTCCCCTTATTCTCAGGAAACATTATTTTCACTCATCATGCTCCTCAATAACTGCGCTCCCCTTTTAATTAAAGATCAAGTTTTTATATTTTTCCACGGGAATGGTTCTACATTTTGAATATTTTACTTTTTACTCAAAACTTTTCTTAGGCGTCAGAAAACTTGTAGAATGTTTTTGATCAGCGATCGGATGTTAATTTTTTTTGAAGCTATTTAATAATTTTATCACAATCAATAGGCGAATCACAACCAAATGGTTTCGTGCCTATTATATTCATCGTAGTTTTAGTGCAAATTGATCTGTTCTCAACGAAATCTTGATAAATTGCTTTTTTTTCGGCTTGTAACCTAACTGCAATCAAAATGCAAATATAGTGTGTCATGATTAAAAAGCAGGCTCTTAAAATGTCCTTTCAAGTACTCATAAGGTAAAGAACAAAACTATAAAAAGGAGATGATTTTTAAGCTTTGTTAGAGTTCTCGAGGCAGCTTACTGGCTTTTTTGGTGACCTTCCGAGATGATTTTTTTTTTCAATTTCAATTTATTTTGTAAAATGCAGGCAACTTATTCCCATTTGGAAGACGAATTAAATTTTGTTCGTTCATTTTTGTTTGTATTCTCCTTTGTTTTACAGCTCAGAACTGGCAGTTCGCAAACTTCGAATTAGCTTCAACATCAGAGCATATGTGAAACAGATAGACACAGTGGCGGCCGAGTGGCCTGCACATACAAACTACCTCTACCTGACATATAATGGAGCCAGTAATGACTTGGCCCCTTCTAAGGGCAATTTTGTTCTGGTGTTGGGAAGTGGAGTCTATAGGATTGGATCCAGTGTGGAGTTTGACTGGTGTGCTGTCAAATGCATCCAGGTTTGTGCCCGAAAAGCTTTGTTTAAATTTGGAGAATTGATGAAATATGTTTGAATAAGTTTTGCACATTTTTATGATGTACTATAGACGAAACTATAAACTAAACGGATCCCTTGCATTTTCTGAACACTTCCCATTTTTCTTCAACCGATACATTTGCTTAATACTTTTTAGCGTAGATTCCGAATCTGATTTCAAAAATTAAAACTAACAACAGAATAAATGTAAGTACATTTTCACATTATTTTCAAAACGCATACATTTTCAAAGAACTCAAAATTTTGAAAAATTCAATACTGCAGTCCGTTTCGCTCACGCCACATAAAATCGTCTAGCTATTTTGGGACCAGACTGAACCTTGACCCATAGACTCGGCGAAGGCTCCTTCTCACGCAGGACCAGTACGACTCCACGTGATTGGTACAAGTACCGGATTTCTGGGTCAACAAATTTTAAAGATTGATTCACTGTTGAGTGTTGAAATCCACTCAATTCTAAATCTCTGTAAGCACCACACTGGTCTGAGGCACCTATTGTTGGATTAAGGGTATTAACGTTTCGCGGTCGCTTCTATTCACGAGTTTAATGATTCCTATCTTCCTGCGTCTGGTACATTCCAACATTCCATTGTTGTTGGGATGCATGCACACGACTGATGTTGCACGTTGGCAGGAAGAGCATGCATCCATCAATCTCTACGGTATCGCTGACCCCGCTTAGCATTCTTTCAGATGTTGTCGCTGAAGCCAGTGAGGCAGTACAAATAAAACAGTTCGATTATTTCTCTAAAAATAACAATTAATAACACAAGCAAAGCTTGTGTGATAGTATGAACTCTCTTTTCTTCCCAACCTAAGTCGCAAATATTGTTGCGGCGCAAATATTGTTGCACAAAATGTGTTCATTTTGAAAGTGTTCGTTTTGATCAATAGCCAGCTATTAAGTACAGCCAATGCATCGGATATTAACTCAGATTATTATATTAAAAATAGCTCTTTAGCTTCAAGGTATCATGAATCTGTAGCGTAGAGGTAGGGAAGGAGCCCCGCAACAAAGTAAGAGGTTCGGACCTGGGCAGGGCCGGATGTTTTTAATGAATTTTTTCGTATACTAGTTAAAATACGTCCGCTCTATAAATTGAGGCATATTAGTTGGTAATTTTTTTTTTCAAATTGACTGGTCCTGCTAATGCGTCATAATTGGCTTGCGTCACTTAGCAATTATGTTAGCAGTAATCGGGTCATATTTTTGCTGGTGTATGCGAAGTGCAACTTCGCCTCTGTGTTAAACCGTTGTTAATCAGGTTAGTGTATTAGTACGAAATTTTTTCCCCAACCTGTACAGCTTTTTGTTGCACCTGTTTGTGGCACCTGTACAGCTTTTTGATAGCTTGGGCTTTGACATCCGGATAGTAATAAGTTCACACAGTTGATGCACTTTTAATTCATCAAATGAATGGAAAGAAGTGATTTCTTTCAAACAACATGACAATAATGAAAACTCGATTTAAGAATTTTTCTAACTTAATTTATCTAGCAATTTTTGAAATAGATAATCTATACATAATGTGGCTTTAGGCTTTGCAATTTGTTACATGCAAAGTTAGCGTGGGTGCCTTCAATTTGTTATAATCCAAATTTTTACTTGAAAAAATGATTCTTTGTGTAATTGGTGCCATTTTTGCTGAATGGCATTGGCAATGTATTAGTATATGTAGCTGCTTTATTCGTGATTAGTGTTTGTCGGTTGTTAAGCTTGCGTGGCTGAGTGGATATTGCGTGAGACGCAAAATCTCTTGATTGCCTTAGGTCGCAGATCGAGTGCTAGACCTAGCCGAGTTCTTGCTAATTCGAGGCTTATTTCTACTTTTTTTAATTTCAATTGAAAGAGCTGCTTTTTGGTCATTTTCTCACAAGTGTTTGCAAAGTGCAGCTTCGCCTCTGTGTAAATGAAACAAATACCTTTAAGAATGACTTTATGAACGAACGTACGCAATTTTATGCGCACACGCTTGCAAACGGTTCTAGGCAGAAGCCCACGCGGATGTGCGCATGACTTGAGTGCGTTTGTTTATGTAGTTATGCGTGTATCATACTAGAAACCAGCCTTTGGCAGCTGACTCTTGTGGATGGCCGTTGTGCTAGTCTTGCACCCTGTTGACCTTCGTGTGTTGCCTCAAATCCTAGAGTGGTTTTTTGAATATGGACCCAGATCTGAAGATCGTTATCTCCGCTTTTTGGTGCACACCCATGTGTAACCATCATTAATATTATTTCTTGGAGTTCATTTCAAGCGTCGGAGGCAACTGCGCTGGTTGTAAAATCCAAGGAGTTTCAAGAACGAATTTTTTTAAGCAATTAAACTGCTTATTCAGTTTTAAGAAAAACCCGTTTAATAGATAAATTAAATTCATAACTTCAGTATCAATGCGTGTTATAGTTGTTCAGATTTTCACTTTTCAAGATTTAGATGTTCACAGATTTTCACGCTTGGTAATTTTTCACGCTTCAAGATATGTGATTTTCAAATGAAAACTATTACTGTTTGGAAGCGTTAAAAAGTAATTTGTGTCCATTTTCCTCTTAATGTTTAGCTTTCATAAAGGCTCAATTTTAGGGCCCTTTGTAGTGTCTCATGAAAAAGGTTCAAAATTTCCAAGCATTTTTTGAGTATCCTTGTTCTTTTACTATATTCCAGCCCTTTGTTGGCTATGTCCGATTGTTCCTGCAAGGGACTAAAAAAATTTCAATAATACTTTGAACTGTGTAATCATAACCGCTGATTTTGCTTCATCAGGAATTGCGTGAAATGAAGTATGGTACTATGATGTTGAACTACAACCCAGAAACAGTGTCCACAGACTACGACATGTGTGACAGACTCTTCTTCGACGAGATCTCATTCGAGAATGTCCTCGACATATACGAGAGGGAACAACCACTGGGTACAATTTGCGAATTAGTGTTATTTCAGCTGTATATATTCTAGATAGTTTTACCCTCATTTATATCTTTGTGATTTTACTGACAAATCAGGGTCGTCCAGAGCTTTTCGTCAAAATTTACTTCGGCTTCGATGAAGTTTACTAGGTTATCTTTTTGTCACTTTCTATGAAATTTTCTGAAAATTTAGTCCTAATACTCCAAATTAAATCATAATCGGAGCAAAAACAATAACAAATTTAAGCACGAATTAGTTGATTCACAATGTAGATCATCTTTGTTCAATACATTCAGACTTATGTTTTAAATGTTGGATCTGTTTTTGCGGAGTTAACTGATAAAATTAATTTGTTCTGCTGCGACTTGACTTTTTATCTCGATATATTCTCTTTTCAGGAGTGATTCTGTGCATGGGTGGGCAGCTGCCTAATAATATAGCCCTGCCCCTTCACAGACAGGGAGTGAAGGTATTGGGAACTACTCCGGAGTCAGTGGACTCGGCGGAGAACAGGTTCAAGTTCTCCAGAATGCTAGACTCGAAGGTAACTAACTCAAAGTTCTAATCGCATCATTTTGGGAAAGAAAACCAAGGGCAGAAAGTTGAACTGACACAAAGAAAAAAGTTCTGAGCTTAGATCAAGTTATTTTGACGTTTTTCTTGATTTCTGTTTCTCTGAAGAAATAATTGGAGATAGCATAAACATTTGTTAAAATGTGATTTATACAGGGAAAGGTTTGATTAGTTTGAGCGTAAATTTCTTTATCATGAATTATTTTGGGCAGAGCATTTCGTGGGATTAAGCTTCGGTGCTTTAGAACTGTCGCTATTAATTTGCTGTGGTAAAAAATTGGCGTTCTGCTCCATACCCTAGAAATGATGAATCCAAGCACATACATGCATCAATTGAATCTTTTTGCAAAATTTAATCACCTTTAAATAAATGACATGGTTCCTTCTATTAAATAGATTTGATCTTAATTTTTTTTCTGATACCAAGTTCTTCCTTTCTGGCAGGGTATCTCGCAACCTAAATGGAAAGAGTTGACCAGTCTGGAAGAAGCGAAGACCTTCTGCAGCACAGTGGGATATCCTTGTCTAGTCAGACCCAGCTACGTCTTATCAGGTATACCTTACACTGTCTAAAATTGTAGGAAATATTCTTCTAAAAAAGAAATGAGTTTTTGTTCAGAAATTATATTTACACTCGTGATTAGCAAGTTATCAGTTGTGATACGGTTCGGGCTAACAACTACAAAATCGTATTAAGCTCTTTTTCGGGTTAAAAGCTTGTCTAACGAAATCTACGAGTATTTTTGCCCCTGTGTGAAATGAAATGCACTCTCTCTCTCTCACACACACACACACACACACCCTCTCTCTCTCTCTCTCTCTCTCTCTCTGCACTAATCAACTCACCATTTTCTTGTGTTTCTATCAGGTGCTGCTATGAATGTGGCCCATAGTGACAATGACCTTGAGGAGTTCTTGTCTGTGGCTGCACTGTTGAACAGAGACCACCCGGTTGTCATCTCCAAATTCATGCTAGATGCTAAGGTGATTTAGATTCAAAATAATTTTGGAATTTTAAGAAAAGTTGACCTGGGGTTCCTTGAAAATCATGTTTTCCCTTATTTCAACGCGGAAAAATGTGTTCAAAACTAATTGACCTAAAGTCATAAGTTTTGACCAATTGAGATGCTCCTGGTCGCCTTTTCCCGGTTTAATTTCATTTTTTTGAAAGCCCATTTTTGCCAATTGTTGCTTTTTTTGCAAAGGAAAATCAAAAAAGTTATATAATTTTTTATTTTTTAATTTTCCTTTGCAAAACAGCACCGTTGAAAAAATATGTCTAATATTCTTGCCTGCTTTAATTGTGTATTTTGCTGAAATTGATTTTGACCGATGCTCAAGGTCAACAATATTGCGAAAATATAAAAGTTTGACATAAACTATTTAAAAGAAAAAACATGTAATGACCCACCTGTTAAAATTGTGTGTTATGCATTTGTGTGTTATCAGGAGATAGACGTGGACTGTGTGGCGAGGGACGGAGTGGTGGAGGTGATGGCTGTGAGTGAACACATTGAGAATGCAGGAGTGCACTCGGGAGATGCCACTCTAGTCACACCCCCACAGGTACACACAGAGGAGGGGCAACTGCTCTTTCCTTTAGGGTCCACAAGTGCCGCCTTCCAGTGGTGGACCCGACGGTTGTACAAACAGCCTCAAATGGCTTTTATCCTACCCTCCCATCTCCAATAGGGGAGCTCAAAAGGGAACCACTATTTCCTTTAAACTTCCATAATCACCAATGGCAGCTTAGCTTGAGGTTTTTGTAATTAAAAAGGATTTCATTGATATTTTGAACACAGATAGGGCCTTCAGGCTTCTTTCGGTTCATAGTTTTAACTGTGTCGATACAAGCAAACAGGCGACAAAAGAATCGGAGTTGTAGAGGTAATCGAAAGAAGGAATATTGTAAACTTGTTTGCTTTCTAGGATCTAAATAGTGAGACGTTGGAGAGGATCCAGAAGATAGTGGTTGTGATTGCGAGGGAGTTGAATGTGTGTGGACCCATGAACATGCAGTTGATAGCCAAGGATAACCAGCTACATGTTATAGAGTGCAATGTCAGAGTGTCCAGGTTAAATTTTTTAGGGCAGAGATACATTATTTAAGTGAAGGCTGAAATAATCAAAGATTTTTTTCGGCTACCGTATTTCGACAGCCGTTTTTCTACATATTTCTAATTAGGTTTAAGAACAAAGCCTGAACTAATTAAATTCAAAATGGTGATTCATATCCGTTTTAGGTTATAGTCGTATTTATTGTTAACTATCAAAAAAAACTTGGTTTTTCAGTTTGACGTTTAAATATGCCTATGAGTTTATGATATGCTTTCAAGTTTCATCCGTTTTCTGGCAATGAATTCATCCGTTTTCTGGCAATGAATTCATCCGTTTTCTGGCAATGAAATGTTTTGAATTACACATTTTCAACTAGTATCATCATCTAGCCATTTATTTTAGGTCCTTCCCATTTGTCTCGAAAACCCTCGGAGTCAATTTAGTATCTCTAGCCACACACGTGGTGATGAACTGTCCCAATAACCCCTCTGTACAGCTACCTCCTTCTGGAATGCTACTGGAAAACGGAGGCAGAGTTGGAGTGAAAGTGCCAGTGTTCTCGTTCGATCGATTGCCTGGAGCTGACTACATGCTAGGTAATCGAAATATAGTTTTTTGACATATTTAGCTTTTATGATGTTACCCTAACAGTAATAAAAAATAGACCAATTCAAAATTTACGTTTGGTAGGAAATTAGAATAAATTTATCTTCGAGGATATAATTTTCTCTAAGCTAGATCAGGCAACGAGTCGGGATAATGAATTGAAGATAGTAGGCGAAAAAGTACAGGAGTCTAAACTAATACTGAATATTGCTCTCCTAGGTGTGGAAATGGCGTCTACGGGCGAAGTTGCTTGTTTCGGGGAGAACAGATGTGCAGCATATGTGAAGGCGGTCCTAAGTGCAGGCTTCAGACTTCCAAAGAAGAACATACTCATCTCTATTGGAAGCTACAAGGTAAAAAAACAAGGGATCGTCATTTCATGCTCGTCAGCAAGCGTATAAATTTGACAATAATCGAATCTATTGGCCGTGAAAGATCACGGAGCGAACTTCAGTTAAAGTTGGTTAAAATCTACTTTTTTCAAACCTATCTTAGTTTAACACATTTTAATTTTTTGGGTTACTTTTAGAAAGCTAAATTTGTTTGAATTGCCTTCGTTATATCTTCAATGTTTTTAAGAGTAATGAACATAGCGAAGACTCTTATATAGGTCTTGCAGTTTTTTTTCAGGAAATAGTCTTGAAATTTGTTCACGCTCAGTTTTGATTTTTCGCGGTTTGACTTGTGATTTCTTTTTAAATTCAGTGCATTTCCATTGTTAAAAGGAAGGCAAACTCCGCTATCGAACAGCAAAAGTGTAAATGTCACGAAATGAAAGTTTTACGTATTGATCCAGTTTTCTCAAATTGGATTAATTTTAACAAAAAGTGTCCATCCTAAATTGCTCTACAAATTCAAAGAGCTTTAAAGGCCATCTATTTTTTCTCTTTGAAATTCAAAAGTTGAAGGCTCTTGCAAAAGAAGTCTGTTTTTTTTTGCTGTTTCCTTTTGTTGATTACTATCTTCCAACTGTTAGTTGGCTATGTTTGTTAGCTGAAATTGCTCACTAAAGAGTAATAGAACTTAAATTTGTCGGAGCCACCTTCAGGGATTTCACCCTCTCACCATTCAAAGGGTTACCCTTTGGTATTTTTTATGACATTTTAGGCCGACCAGCCATAAAATTTTTCTTAAGCCCCCCCCCCTAGATCCGCCCCTGAAAGCGACCCAATTTTATTGTTTTCTGGCCTGTGCATTTACTAGTTGTCTAAAACTGCTTTGTAACTCAGGTGATCGCTAGTTTAATTGGTTGTCTCAAAAATGTTTTTTTTTTCAATAAGTTTTTGACCAAGAATATAATGTGTTCCAATGGGAATGCATTCGGATACTAGGTTTTTCCCTAAAGAACTTGTTGACACAATCCGCACGTGAAAGTGTTACACGTGTTTCGACTTGATTAAATTCGAATTCAGTGAATCATTCTGAGCGTTTGTGATAAAATTCATCCTTGACGAAAAAGGCCTGGAGCTCGAGTCCAACTTTGGAGTTTGTACAATGGAAAAACGAAAATGACGATGAAATGCAAAATTTGAATTCAAATTAGTTACTCAAATTTGTAATACATAATTTGACGATGATGGTAACAAATTTATTCGAAAATTGATTAGAGGTGTGCTTTTTTTGTAAATTGGCTTAACTACAAGCATGTGGAACTTGTTTTTAGTCTCCTGAAATAGAGGATGACGAAAACCGCTGTTCGCAGTTCTATTAGGCTTGCAATGTCATCTGACCATCTACTCTGCGATAGATATTTTCGTTCATCATCTTCGTCTTAGTTGATGCTTATAATGTTCTTTTGGAACTCATATGGGTAGATGTTGGATTGTTTTGTGAAGAACCGTTTAGAGTTGGGTGGTAAATTGGAGTTTTGGTTGCATTGTGTTATCAAACAGATAAAAGTCGTTTCATTTCGTCCCAGGAGATCTTGGTCATGTCGACTGTGAGTATCTTCTCATAGGAGATGCTCTTGTCCTGTATGGCGTCGATGTTTCCGATTCCGATCACATCGCACTTCTCTGGGCCAGATTTGAAGGCACAGGTGTTTTCCTCTGGAGTTGGAGAGGGCAGTTCTGCCGTATCTGTAGAAAAAATAGTGTGAAAGGCCGGGCGAATTTCAGGTATATGAGGTTTATGGTCCAAAAATTTCAATATTCGTTAGCCAAATTGAATGAGTCAACTGGTTTTACTTTTTTACCCATAGGAAATTTTGAAATTTTCATGAATGGAGTTTGCCACGTGAATTTTTTTCCTATATTTCGTGGTTATTTGCCTCAAGTTACCTTCTAGTGGTGGATGTGGTCCGCATATTGCGACCAGTAGATTTGCTATCTTTAGTGGCGCGTTGCTCACTTTTCTGAACACTTTCACCCCACACACTGAGCAGAAGTTGTTGGACACAATGCCGACCCCTACTCGGAAACATGTCACTTTGTCTTCGCCTGAAACAAGAAGGGAAGGAATAGTTAAATCCTAAGATCATAATAGGCATCGTCTCAACCTGTGATGCTTAAAACTAAACAGCTGAATGATAGTGCAGTTTTGTTTTAAATATGAGACAATTTAAAGTGTAAAAACGTTTGTTAGTATCTAAGAACGCCGTGATGATATTTTGATCGCTTTTTCAAGAAAAGTCCTAAAGTTTTTTCAGGCTCAAATTAACTTCTTTGCGGTTTGATTTTTGATTCATTTTTAAGTTCACTTCATTTCCTTTCTTAAAAGGAACGCAAACTCCACTAACGAACAGCAAAAATTAAAAGGTCAAGAAAAAATGTTTCAAAAATGGACTTTCAAAAGTGTTAATCATGAAGAAATCTTGAAATTCAAAGAGCTTCAACATGTGATAATTTTTTTCTTCGAAATTCGAATGTTCAATCAACTTTTTCCGGTTTCCTTGTTCTTATACATTTTTCTAACTGACTGTTGAAACCTTGTATCAGGCTTTTACCTTTTCTAACGGGAAGAAGGGGGTAATCGATGAGTAGCGAATATCTAACCTGCTGTGATTTTGAAGTTATCGCTCCTAATGTACAGACACGCATCCAAATACTTCTGACAGCTGTCACATGTACAATTGACTAGTGCCCTAACTTTGGGTCTACTCGTGAACTCAAACTGCACTGCTCCACAGAAACAACTGCCTCTGTGTATTGTGACTTCTTGTGGGTTCGTTTTCTGAGAAGTTTGACGGGTGTTACGTTTTTCGGAGGCTAGATGATGCGAAAAATATCCGACGGTTGTGTGCAATGATTTTGTTGAATTTTGTAAATAAAAACAATGGAGATGTTAAAGGTGACTGACTTGAAAATTTCATCTATTTTTAAGATATTTTTTAAGTGAATTTTTGTTTTCGTTTTTAGGAGTCATGAACGCAAGGAATGCTATTATAGTGGGTTTTGGTAATTTTTTTTTCAGGATAAAATTTTAAAGTTTGTTCACGCTATAATTTGAGGTTTCGCGGTTCGACTTTTGGTTTCTTTTTAAGTTCAGTTTATTTCTTTAGTTAAAATGAAGGCAAACTCCACTATCGAGCAGCGAAGTGTAAAGGTCACGAACAACTTTATCGACTTTAATTTCGAAAATGAAATTTAATTTTCAGATTTCTCAGCGGAGAATTATTAAGTTTAACAATTGATACAGTTTTCTCAAATTGAATTAATGTTATCAAAAAAGTTTCAATCATAAAATTGTTCTTAAAATTCGAAATGCTTTAATTAAGGCTACATAGTTTTTTCTTTGAAATTCGAAATTTGAAGTTTTTCAAATATACAAGTCAGGTTTTTTCTGTATTTTCTTGCGTTCATGACTGTTTTCCAACTGTATCTTGGCCATGTTTTTTTGAAGAGCTTTCTTAATGCTCGTTTGTTTCTGTGCTAAAAATATCAAATTGAGCGGAAAAACCTCACTGAATTTTATCATTGGTATAATTTACAGGAGCTTCAGGAAGTTTTCACTTTACCTCGATTTGAATTGTGTGAACAAGTGACATCAATAGTTAACGGCGTTAATTCGGGTTTTACTGTGCTCAAATCAGGTGGTTCCAGTTTCAACTGATTGGGTCTTTCTCTTCTGGGAATTTTGGGCGAAATTGTTTCGCTTTTGACCTGAATGATAGGGTCCTGCTTAGGCTCCAATTTAGTGACCGTTTGGGTAACTGCTTGCGAAGTTTTTTCCGATGTTTCTGATTTTTCTGCTTCTAGTGTACTTGTTTGGCCTAGAAAATGGAGTCTAAATAAGCATAAAAAACAATTCGGAAATTGTTTGTGAAATAATTCGGAAAAAGTTTGCTAATCTATTGAAATATCCCATTTTTGTATCAACATTTTTTCAATTAGCCAAAAACTTACTGGAACCAGGGGCGGATAAAGGGTTTTCTCGAGGGGGGGGGGGCGGATTTTCAAAAAAAATTGAAAATTTAACGATTTTTTTGTAGGTCGACCAAAATGGTTTTCTGAGCTCTCCCAAATCACTATAAAGACCCCATTTTGACCAAATTTTCTGCGTCGTAGGAAAAACTTTGAAAAAACAAGCCAAAAATCTTGTTCTTGGCAGCCCAAAAAACAACCTAAAAATCGCGCACTCCCCCCTCACAATTAATGTAATTTGGCGCCAAAGGTGCCTTGGAAAGTTTTTTGGGGTCATTCAGCCAAAAATGGATATCTCAAAATAGTACAAAGGGGGACCTTTGGGTCGGTAGGGGGTCGAATCCCTGAGGGGGGGGGGGGGAGAGTTTTTGAAAAGTCGTTCAATATTTTTTCAGAGTTCGCTGATAATTTTTGCGAAGAGTCGCCAAGTAATTTTCGTAAAATTTTACTCCAATTTGCTGTTTCTAAATTTTAAGACTCAGTTACCGGTGGCTATGCTTGTAACATTTGTAGTTAAGGCTTCGCTGATTGTTCTTGTCGTTATCGTCGAAGCTTTTTCAGCAGTCCTCAACTTCACCGGAGGTTTTCGGTTGTATTTCACTTTCTGACTTCTTTTCGTTATTTTTGATAATTTTTCGGGTTTCATTGTAAAAGATAGCTGCTGCATTTAACAGACTTGAAAATGCTGAGAATAATCTGATGATTTAAACTGTAGGTTAACTGCAAAAGAGTTTGCGAAAAAGTGATTCACTAAACGGATTTGGTACGAATTTGATTGCCGCTATTTTTGTAAATATGGTAATAAACGATGAATTTGAAGAATTTCAGAAGTATTTCAAACATGTTTGCGTGTGAAGGTCAAGAATGAATTCTTGTTGCTATCAATGGTATAATTAGTAACCACTTTGATTCTTTCGATAAGTGGTCACTCCAGACTAGATTTATGTTAAATTTTTGTTCAAAATGAGATAAAACTGATTGAATAATTGGAATGAATAGAAATGGAATTTTGATGGAATTTGATTCAATGGAAAGTTCGTTTGAGTTTGACCTCTGGGTTTTTGATATTCGGCCAGGTTGAAATAGCGACCTTCAATTGACCTAGAAGAAGTAACGATGGGTGTCTCAGCACTTTCCAGAAATGCGGAAAATGAGAAAATAAGAAGCTTTGATTAGATAGGGAAAACTTGAAGTTGGTGATAACCGAAAACGATGATCCAGATATGAATCTCTGTCGAGCTAAATAACCAATTGTAATTGTGATCGTATAATAGTTAGTTCGTAAGTTATTTCAAGAACTGTTTTATGGTAACATGATTTAGTTGAATCATAACCTCATGGCTTGGTATTGCGTTGAGCAAATGGGTAAAACATACTGAATTTTGTAAAATCGTTGAAATAATGAATTACAAGTTCTCTTTGTGCCGTGACTGACGTTTACTAAATTGTCTTTCATTACAACACAATGAAATGGGTTTAAGCAGCTTCATAGGAATCGGGACCGACCGATAGCTAAGTTTGTCTGAGTTTCTTATTGTCTTTTGACCTTTGGAGAGCCTAAATTTATGCTGTTGGCAGCATAAGAAGATGTATCAATCGTCAGAAACGTAACTAGTTAAGTCATGAAGGTTTTTATTTAGCAAAAATCAAATCTTTGAAAATTAGGCTTAAAAACATTGATGTCCATTTGAATAATTAAAAATTAAAACTCATTAAAATAATGGTATGTTTTCGCATTCAAATAATGAAATTTAAATTAATTAAAATTGTTATATTTAAATGAAAATCACTGATTTAAAAGTTTTGCTTTCTTGGAAGCATTGTTTTGATGAATAATTTATACTAAGATTGTACCGATCTCACTTAAAGGCATTTTGAAGGTAAAACGATTATAATATTTGCTACTCTTATTTAACCATTTAATTTTACTTTTAGGCCTCACAAACTTGGTACGCATGATACATTTATATAAGACTAATCTTACTTTAACCCTTGCTTGAGTTTGCTTCTTGGCTAAAAATTTGATGGCCTGCTAAATAACTTTCTGCAGTTTAATACCCATCATTCCATTTCATCTAAGCCAATTGGGGTGTTACAAACCGTATTCGATCCTAAGACATGAAAGGTTCGAAGTGCCATTCTGTTATCAGACATTGAATGTATTATGACGTGATGCGTAGGACTATTTTATGTGTAATGACCTTTGGGTAAATTCAGCGTATATTTAGTTCAACTCTGCCTTTTACTGTTTTAACTCAACGAAACTAGTTAGATTTTATTATTATTTAGGCCTGTATTGTGTTGCGTTTTTCCTTTTTATTTTCGTTGGAGGCCTTTTTTGAGTTTTTGACTTTTTATCAAAAATCTTAAAGAATCGATTCAGTTTAAAATACCAAATCGAGAAAAATTTCTTAAAATGTTGATATTTGTACTGTAATTTGATGATAAGCGATTGTTACAGCGAAGAAAACACCAGCAAGAGTTGCCGGTTGCGAACACATTTGCGATTACATTTATCACTGCCATATAGAATTGACAAGAAAGTTTGTGTCAAAGAACGTAGTGAAGACTTTTTTTTAGGTCATGAGGACTTTTTCTGGAAGGCTCAAAATTTGTTCGCGCGCTCATCTTTGATATTTTGCAGTTTTTGATTTTTGACATAATAAATTGAAGTACATTACAATTTATTTCAGGTTTCCCGGAGCATATTGCCTCTTTTCAACCTTCTATTGAATATCTTTGGTGTCAATGAACAAGTAAGGAACACAAAAATATGTGGAGTTTTTTTGGTTTGTAAAAATTTGTCTTTTGTCAAATTTGTGCGATTTGACTTCTTGTTAAAAATTCTGGAAATTTATTCGCTCTCAAATTTGATTTTTTTGCTGTTTGACGTTTCACTATTTACATCATCGCGCTTGAGAGCTTTTGTGTATTAGTACATACCTTCTTTTTTTTCTAAACTAACTTGCAAATAAAAGTGTCCATTGAAAGTGGAAACTTCACTTATTTGTTGGCAATTTTGCTATAATCACGATCTGTAGCATTGGAAATTTCATAGCATATGTTCTCTGCTTTTTTGTGGCCAGTGTTTGTGGTTTATAAGCGTCCGTGGCTGAGTGGTTAGTACGTGAAAGTCATAATATCTAGGTCGCAGATCGAAACCAAGATGTAGCTGTATTTTTTTTGCTAGATCGAAACATCTTTCTACTTTCTCTCATTGCACTTGATAGAGCTGCTTTTTGTCGTGTTATCGGCAGTGTTTGCGAAGCCCAGCTTCGCCTTTTTGTTGTAAAATTTATTTGCTAAAAGGATTTCCCTGCAGATTAAAAGAATTACTTGTTGAACCAATTTTCATCTGAAGTTTCTTGGGCCACGCTTTATTCGAAAGTTCATTGCATGAATTGTAGGCTTGCTCTTAGAAAAACCTAATTTTTTTTGCGGACAGATATGAATTATTTTGAAGTTCCCTCCTTTTAGGCTGCTTATTGAAAGTTTGATTTTTCAACGGATTTAGGCTATGAAAACAAACTTACTTGAAAAAATCTGCAATAATAGTTTTTTTGAATCGAATCAAAATTGAGCTTGCTTTAGTAACTTCAACGATTTCTGCGAATGAAGCAAATGAAATGTTTCTGGTTTTATCAATTTTTGAGTTTGGTTAGCTCAATTACTTATTGCGAATCGATTCAAGCTATGGAAGCAACCTGAAATATTTCAAATTGTAGTCGCTTGAATGGCTTGCTGGAACAAATTTAAATATTTTGCTAATTGATGCAATCTGTAAAAACAAAATGAAATATTTCAAAAGTTTCATGCTTGAATTGCTTGCGTTAAAAAAGTATCCCCTGTTGCGAACCGATTCAAGCCATAGAAAATGAAAAATCAATAGGGTTCTCATCGCATGATGACCTTGCTAGGAAAAACTTTTTTTTTTGTGTACGGGCTCAAGCTATGAAAACAAAGTGAACTGTTTTCAAGTTCATTAGCTTGAGAGCTGGAGTAGGAAAATTATTTTTTGGCGAATCAATTCAAGCTATAAAAGCATAATTTATTTTAAAGTTTGCATAATTTAAATAGCTTTCCTGGCAAAAATGAAGCTTGCTAATTTTTGTGAAGCTATGAAAGCTATTTTCTACATTTTTTCATAGCTTTATGAGCTTTGGTAGATAAATTTTAGGTTCCCATGAACTGATTAAATTAACGGCATGAAGTGATTGGGAATTTTTTAATCAGTGAAGTGTCTAGAAAATGATTTTTTTTGCGAATTGGCTTATGCTATGCAAAATTTTAACAATTTTATTGAAGTTTTTTCAAATTTCAATTTTTAACCATTTTGTTTCTATCAGAACAGCTTGCTTTATTTAACAGTTTTTTTCGGTTGATTGCTTGCTTCAAAAAACTTTTACGCTAAGCGCACCAATTCAAGCTATCAAATAACAGCTTGAATGGCTTGCTTCGAAAACTAAAAACTAACTATTAGCAAACCAGTTGAAGCCATCCAAGCTATATAAAATATTCCATAATTTGAAATACAGTCAAACAAGTTAAATTTCTAACCAATCATTTCAAGCTATGGTAGACTAATTAAATGTTTCCTTTTATCGACTGAAAAGGCCGCTAAAAATTTAAATCATCGACCAGGTTTTCCAGCTAGAAAATAATTTGAACTGTTCCAGAGTTCTATAATTTCTACAGCATCTTTAAAAAATCTTTCTTTGCAAAATCCTGGTTTGGTTTTCGCGGCGTTTCAAGCTATCAAAATAGTTTGTTTCGAAATTTCAATGCTTGAATAGCATGCTAAAAAGGCATTTAATTTTTTGAAGGAACTCAATCTATCATAAAAAAATCATATGAGCGAGCTTGTATCGCTGAAATAGCTGATTTTCGAGAATCAAATGAAGCTTTGGAACCGAATTGATTTTTTTCATTATGTCATTGCTCGAGAAAAATTCATGAGAAACCACAAGGTTTAGCGAAACAATCAAATATCAGTTCAACTCAACAAAACATTTCAAATTGTTGTCGTAACTTGCTGGAATTTGCGAACTGATTTGATTTGCTAAAATAAATTAAAATATTTTCATCTGAAATAATTTTAACTGTCTGAAGTTTTCAACAATAAACTGAAACGCTTCAAAATGCCATTGATATATATATTTTTTGTTAAGACTAGAAATCTGTAGATCTTAGGTTTGTTTCTCAAAATAGGCATTTTTAATAAATTGATATCTTATTTTTAAGAGAAATGAACGTAGTGGAGACTCTTGTACAGGTCTTGCTGATTTTTTTTTCAGGAAAAGTCTATTAACTACAGATGTGCATTCATACATATTGATGCATTTATGAATGCACTTATGTGTATATGCACTTTTTGGCTCAAATTAAATTCATTTGTTGAAAATGACGTAAATAGCACTCTCCAAATACGAACGTGGAAATGGAGCAAAAAAAACTAACGGCTTCTAGTTTCGAAAGTGGAATTTATTTTTTAGATTTGCGACTAAACATAAACTTTACCTATTGATCTAGTTTTCTCTAGTTGGGTGCATGCTATCAATAAAGCGCCAATCATAAATTGTTCTAGAAATTCAAAGAGCTCAAATGGTATCTATTTATTTCTTTGAAATTCGAAAGGTGAGATTTTTTCAAGAAAGTCAGTGTTTGTTTATATGTTTACTTGCGTTCATTACTTTTCCCAATCTTCGGTTGGCTATGTTTAAGTTTTGTTAATTTAACTTAAAGCTGTTTTTTGTCGTTTTAATTTGTGAAGTGCAGCTTCACTTTGTGTATAATCGTCACTATCGAACAGCAAAATTGTAAAGGGCACAAAAAACTTGATAAACTTCTAGTTTCGAAGTATCTTTAAATTTTTTCAGGTTCTCCAGTAAAGTATGTAGTTTACCCGTTGATCCAATTTTTCTTAAAATTTAAATAGCTTCATCGCCATAAATTTTTCTTTGAAATTCGAAAGTTAAAGTCTTTTCTCAGCTGTCTGTTGGTTATGTTTTATTTTTTTTTATATGTTTGTCTATTGTAATTTGTTTAGCAACGCTCCCGCGAATAGTTTGGCCTTTCCTAAAGTAAAATTTAAGCTGAATGATACGCTATCTGTTACAAGTTTACTTGTTTGGTCCTTCAAAAATGCTGTGGTCCCTAATAAAAACCGAGGTACAGTATGTGGCTAATTCTAACAGTAAGCATTTTTATTTCTCTATATTGCTGCCGAAACGGGCCTTCTTAGTCTAGTGGGTACGAATCAGGTTACGAACCGCAAGGCGTAGGTTCAATTCTCGTGCTGTTTCTTCTTTTTGGAAAAATAGGCGGTACCAATCATCTAAACTAGTTTTGTCACGGGACCGAACAAGTAAACTAGTACCCGCTATCTAAGTATATATTTTCCCATTGGTTCAAAGTATGATATTTTCCCCGGTTAGCTTTGGCATATTTTTCGCTCCAAATTGCAAAGAATCCTAATAAAAAAGACAAATAATGATCAATTTTTTTTCAAATATGATCCAAATGCGTTCATTTACAAGAGTGCATTTTTTTCTTAGATAAGTAGTTATGGTTCGTTTTAAATCTCAATCAAAATAAATGGACGGAAACTGTGCTCTCCAATAATAAAATTGCAAATCGCACAAAAAACAAGAAAGGCTTCGTTTGGAAAGTGAATTTTATTTTTCAGAAATCTCAGTGCAATAAAATACATCGAAATTCAAAAAGCACGATGGTCATATATTTTTTTACTTCGAAAATCCGTTATTTTGTTTTCTTGATTTTATTGGCACTTCTGCAACTGCTGTTGTTTATGTATTAAATTTTGAAAGACGCGCAGACTCTCTAGTATGGGATAGTTTTATTTACGAATTTTTGGTATGTAGAGAAGAATGGTAGGTTTATGATTGATTGTCTTGCTATGGAATAGAAGATAGTTTAAAAAGAAGGTTTCTTTTCAAAAATGCTGAAACTTAAAGGTCAATTAGGGATAATATAATCCTATAACCAATTGACACGTGTCTTGAAATATCCACCTCTCTTTTATGTTAGTTTGCTTTGCATAGGCGAAAATGGACTTTTTGGGCTCGATGAAGACCCTGGAAGAACTGGGTTTCACTCTGTGGGCTAGTCTGGGCACTGCTGACTTCTACAGTGAACATGGGTGTACCGTGCACCCTATTGAGTGGCCATTTGACTCGAGTGATCACCACCATCAGAGCAATCAGAACGGAGCTGCATCTTCAAATTGTGAGTGTTGTTGTAATATGCTGGAGTGGAGGTACAACGTGTCATGTTTTAGTCAGCTAAAGACGAAACTTGAACAGATGTATTGTTTGCGACAGTTTGAGTTTAATTAGGTTGGAATTTGCCTGAACAAATTGAAGTTTCACTGAGTTGAAATTTGAAGTTTTGCAGACAAAACAGGGAGCTTTAAATAACGACTTGTTCAGTCGTGGTGATTGCTGCTCTTTTGCCTGTATCTTGCAATAAAAGTGATGCAAAGATTAATTAGCTTTCATAAGTATCTGATTAGCTTGCAATTCACTGATACTGTATCGAATTAAGCATCTTAAGAGACGAATAGAATACGCAAGGCGATTTTTAAAAAAAAATCAGCATCTTCATTCAACCACGAAATCAAACTGGTTAAAATACCAACTGGCATTGTGATATCTAAAAATAAAGAGAAAATTATTAGGTATACTTGCTTCTTTACACTAGCGTCAGCTTAGTGTATTGTTACTTACCTTCTTTTTTTCTAACCTAACTCGCAAATAAAAGTGTTCAATTGAAAAAGTTCACTTATTTGGAAATTTCACTGTAGCATTGGAAATATCGTAGCATCTGTTCTCTGCTTTATTTGTGACTAGTGTTTGGCTATTACCTATTAAGCTTCGCGGCTGAGTGGTTAAGATGTGAGGTTTTAATCTCTAGGTCGCAGGTTCGAATCTCAGACGTAGCCGAATTTTTTTTGCTAATTCGAGGTTTATTTCTACTTTTTCCTATAGCACTTTATATAGCTGCTTTTTTGTCGTGTTCTCGCCAGTGTTTGTGGAGCGAAGCTTTGCCTCTGTGTAAAAAAATAAAGTAATTGAAAATTATCCAAAGCACAAAGGCATTTAAAAAAAAACTTCAAAAACTACTTATAGTGCAGTAAAATTTTGTTTCACGAATTAGCCTGAATTAAATGCCTTTTTACGAGTCGATGAACGTTGTTCAGACTTTTATAGAAGTGTTGATGGTTTTTTTTGAGGAAAATCTGAGAATGATCTTATAACTACAGAAAGTGCGTTCATAAAATTTAATGCATTTATGAATGTGCTCTTAGATGCTTTTTTCGAGTTCAATTCAAATACATCTGATTAAAGGTAGGCAAAGTTTGCTTTCTAATTACAAAAGAGAAAATGGCGCAAATTAACGTGATCGTTTTGTAGTTTCGAACGTGATTTTAATATTAGATTTTTCTGCTGATTAACTTCACCTACCGCGCCATTTTTTCTCAAATTGAGTCATCTTTATCAGATTTTTGCATGGCAAAAAAAGTTTCAAAAACCTTGAAACACCCAAATTCAAAGTGGCTCCCCTTTTTCGGTGGTTGGAACAAAAATGTATCCGCCTTATTAAAACAAGTTTTGGAATAGTTTTATTTCTAGAGATAGTTATTATTTTTTAAAAAATGGAGGCTTGATCTTCACGTTTTATAGGAAGAGTCATTAATCACAAAAAAATCACATCGCTCATTAGTCACATCTGTTTTATCCTTTGAAATTCAAAAGTTGAGATTTTTCAAAAAACAAGTAAATATTTTTTTTCTGTTTAATTGCTATAATACTGGCCGTTAATACATGTTTGTTCAAGGCCGATAAAACAAAATGCGTTTTGAGGTCAACGAAAAACTGTGATAGTATCTTTCCTTTGAGTCTTTGCGCGATTTGTGCCATTTTCTGACGGAAATAGAGTTGAGTTGCGGTGCTGAAAGTACAAATACAATTCCAGTATCCAGAAGAAAACTACAAAAAGTATTGTCATCGAATGAACAGTTTTTTTTTGTTCGCAGGTACAACGTCAGGCTACAGCAGCTCTAAAAACAGCTCTCGACGCTCTTCTCTCTCGGGGTCGGGTGACGCCAACATTGCCACCTCCAGTAACAATTTAAGCAGCGTGGTAATCAACAAACAGGTATTGTTTTTTTTTAGTTGACCAGCCAGAGGTTTAACCCAGAGATTAATAATTTAACGTTAGCTAAGCTATAGCTATCTTACAAGATCTCACCTCGTTAAGAGTAATAAACGTAGTGAAGTCTCTTATATAGGTCTGGCTGATATTTTTTTCAGGAAAAAGTCTTAAAATTTTGATGCACTTAGGTATGATGCACTTTTTTAGTTCAATTGAAATTCATCTGCTGAAAGTGACGTAAAAAGCGCTCTCCAAATACGAACTGGCGCAAAAAACGTGAACGACTTCTAGTTTCGAAAGTGGAATTTAGGTATTAGATTTTCAGCGGAATAAAAACTTTACTTATTCATCCAGTTTTCTCTAGTTGGGTTCATGTTATCAAAAAAGCGCCAATCATAAATTGTTCTAGAAATTCAAAGAGCTTAGCGGGCATCTATGTTTTCTTTGAAATTCGAAAGTTGAGCTTTTTTTCCAAAAAGTCAGTGTTTTTTATGTTTACATGCGTTCATTACTTCCAATCTTCAACCTTGTTATCTGCATTGCGCGTGCGATTTGAACCTGCAATCATATGATTGCTGGGCACCATCCTGCCGGGAAAAATACGCAAAGTTGTCTCTTTTGTTTTGAAGGCAATTTGTCCGTTTTTGCTTAACCTTGCAATATCAACGTTTTTCTTTGAAAAAAGACTCAATTTTTTGAATGGTTGCTGTGCCTGGATGAAATTTGTCCAACCAGTTTTCAAGAGTCGATGAAAATATTTCAGACTCTGATATAGGTCGCGATGATTTTTTTTGAAATTTTTAGAAATGATTGAATAACTATAGAAGTGCATTCAAGCATATACATGCAGTTATGGGTGCCCTAATGTATATTTGGACTTTTTGAGTCCAATTTAAGTTACTTTCTGAAGGTACGCCAATTCGCTCTCCAATTACAAATAAAAAAGAAATGGCGTGAAAAACGTAATCGATTTCTAGTTTCGAAAGTGAAATTGAATTTTTAAATTTCCCAGGGGAAACTTGACCTAGCACTAGTTTTCTCAAAAATGTGTCAGTTTAACAGAAAAGTGTTAATCTTTGTCTTTCTTAAATTTCTAAAGTTTCAAGGCCATGTAAAGTCGAATTTTTAAAGTTGAACTTTTCATGAAACAAGTCATTTTTTCCGCTTCTTTGCGTTCATAGACTCTTATCCAGCTGTCTCTTGGCTGTTTTGCGGAATAATAAGTGTGTTAGAGAGTGGATTGGTAGTGCATATTGTTATATCGTTAAAGAGAAGAAAAAAAATCGTTTTCTTCAAAATTTTTCTGTTTTTTCTGTCCGCGATGAAAGCATCTGAAGAAAACAACTGAAATTAAGGTATATTTGACAGTCACCAATAAGGCAAATCGGGCAACGTTTTTTGTCGAAAAAAGACTTCAAAAAATCAAATTTTTTTTCAGTTTTTTTGCAGAATTTCTTGCAGAGTTTTTGAAGGTTTTTTATTCCGAAAATGGCGCTAAAAACTTCTAAAAATTGGTTTACCAAAGTTTCATGGCCGTTTTTTCTATAATAAGCCTGCTCGCTTGCTTTAATTGCTCGAAATTTGACTAAAATTTTAAACCGGTTCTTCGACACTGAAAGAGTTTTTTCAATTTGAATTGCCATTCGATTCACGACTTAGAGCTTTATTATGATATATTACTCGACCCATTCCGATGATTGTTCGTGGAGAACAAAACAGAAAACCGTACAAATACACAGATCGAATACAAAGTTCCTCCCCATTTTTCAAATGCTCAGAATTATTGTCAAACATTTTTTTTCAAAAACTGTTCTTTTGTTCCAATTTTACTACAATTAATAGGGCTACCTAAAAATGAAGAGCATAGCTAAAATATAAATAATGCTCAATAAAGGTTACGCCTTTCAACTTGAGCTCAAAAATTAACTATAATTTTTTTACAGCTAGAAATGCCAGCAACAACTTGTTTCAATCAAATATTTGAGAATTTCTTATCAAAAGTTATCGTCTTGGTGTATTTTTAAAAGTAAAGTGTATATTTTTTTAAATCTTGAATTATGCTGTGCATTTTTTTCCACGGCAATATTGGCTTATGTCTAAACGAGTGCATTTTTATTTACACCTAGTGGTATGAAGCTCCGGTTTGCCTGTTGTCAAAAAAAAACGTTTCATTGGATTGTGTTTTTTTTTACTGTGACGTGAATGTATACGGTTCACTTTGTGATTGCCGGTTTTTGTAGTTTTTTATGTTATCCTTTTTTGGTCGAATAGTTTTTGAAACTCCGCCCTTGTTTTCTGGGAAAAAATATGGTCCCGAGGAGGAAGTATGTCGGAGAATATTTTTAAAAAACCTTCCCAGCTAATACATTTTATACCTATTTAAAAGTTGTGGCGTGTGTCGAAAAGCTTAACTTTTTAGTTGATTACGCTATGATTTATATTAGGGTTTTGGTACTTCAAAATGGCTGACCTCAAAGAAAAGTTCTATATATTTTTTTAAGAAACCGCGTTTAAAAGTTCATGTACACGCCACTGCGAGTCTAAAAGTTATTTATCATACCATCATTTTTCTTATTGCTCAGGCCAATATCGGCGACTACATAGCAGAGCAGAAGTTCGACCTGATCATCAATGTGCCCACACGCAATGGAGGAGCGAGGAGAGTGTCCATGTTTGTGACTAAGGGATACAAGACAAGAAGGATGGCAGTTGATCATGGCATCCCACTCTTGACTGACGTGAAGTGTGCTAAGATATTAGTTGAGGTTGGTTCACATGTTTTGATGTATTTAAACTTAATTAACAATTATAAGAATAGTAAATGAAATAATTATGATTATCGAAACTAATATTAGGGACATTATTCAGCTCTTCAACGGGAATCGTAACTGATTGATATAAAATGAAACCAAAACGTAGGGTGTTGGGTACAAAAGCAATGCTGTTTTTAGGTACTTATCTGATCAGTCGTATCTAATTGTAGAAAAAGGGTCTTGGATCATTTGCAGGAAGTTGGGTGGTCTTTTGTATTGTTTTCGTAAATCTTTTCCATTTATTATGCCTAATTGCTGTTCGACAAGTTGGCACTTTTAATAATTTAGGTTCTCCGTTTTTTATCGATACAACTGAACCGTGGCTATACAAGCTGATTCCTGATTCGGTATGAAACTGTTTTGTTCTGTTCAGGGCTTGAAGCGTTACCACAACAAAGTGCCTTCGTTGCGCACAGATATCGACTGTATCACGTCACGAAGAATCATCACTCTTCCAGGACTGATAGATGTACATGTGCATATGCGGGAACCAGGAGCTGCTTACAAAGGTACGGAAAATATTTTTAAAAGACCTTCTCTCAACATTTATTTAACTACCCTTGCGATATGCAAGGGTATTACAGTCGGGTACTAGACTTTTTTCCCGTAAGCAACTTTGTTCACTGGACTCATTCATTTGGACTCATTCATCTCTGAAATGCTCAATTTCTTGAATTTCAAATAAAACAAATATCATTTAAGTAGTAATGAGAACTACTATCATACAAGTAGTAATTAGTTAAAGCCTGTTTCAGTTCTCAATTTTTAGGGTTGGTGGTTTTTGTCTCTGTCGGTTCATTTTCTGTTTTTTTTTGAACCGCCATTTTTTATCTGGTAGGTTTTTTATTGGCCTATTTTTTAAAGCATGGGTTTTGTTCCAATTTAAACAGTTCTTTTTATAACTGAAATTTCACAAATTTGCGAATTTATCAATTCTGATTTTGAGTTTTTTCTTTTTTTTAATATAATTTTTAACATCTTCAGTTTATGTTATATCGACTTACTCAACTTATATAGCCTAATTTCGAGGGCAAAATATATCCGTATGCGGTTATGTGTTTCAGTTTGATGGGTCATAAAAGCTTTCAAAACTTCAGGAAAATTTTTTGACAACAGTTTTGTTTTCGGCGCAACAGGTTTTGACCCTAAGTTTGTTGCCGCTCGGCAAATAGTTTCCTTATTTTAAAGGCTATTTATGAACTTCATCCGATGGAAACGTGAAGTTTTTGTAGCTGTAGTTTTTTCGATTTTTTACAAGTTATTTTTTCAAATAATTTCTTCAACTTGATTTTTCAGAAGTTTTTTCCATTCACTTTTTTGCTGAGCAACAAGTTTTTGCATCGAAAGTGTTGCGAAGCTCCGCTTCTCTTCTGTGTGAAAATGTTTTTATATATGTTTTTTTACTAAAGTCCTCGAAGGTTAGTACGAACCTTCTTTTTTTTAATTCTAACCTAACTCTTCTTTTTTGTGGCTAGTGTATGTTACCTATTAAGCGTCACTCGCTGAAAGGTCAGCGTGTGAGACTCGTAATCGCTTGGTCGCAGATTGAAATCCGAGACCTAACCGAATTTTTGTTAATTTGAGGCTTATTTCTAAGTTTTCTCATTGCATTTTATAGAGCTCCTTTTTGTCGTGTTCTCGCTATTGTTTCCGAAGCGAAGCTTCGCCTCTGTGTTAAACTTGTTCTTGTAAGCTCAAAAACGTATTTTTTTTCTTGAACCACTTATTAATTTGTACCCTTGCAACTAGCATATGTTAGAACTCAGCATAGTTTTTTGATTGACAATTTTCATATCAGAGTCATTGAAATATTTCGTGAGCTGCAAGGTTTGGTCGTGGACGTCAACATACAGATTTTATTTGAGCAAGATTGTTCTATTTGAAAATTTTTTTTGTTGACCAACTCTAATTTTGTATATTTAACGTTTTTCAATCTGTTTTCTAAGTGTCACACTTATTTGGTCAATTAATTTTATCGAAAAGAGTCCTCGCTCATTTGTATATGCTCAAGTATACATTTCTCTGAAATTTTACACCTGAGGTTAAAATTCCATTTCACCCTGCCTGTTGGTAAATTTTACCATCTATACTAGTCAGCTGCATTGTTAAACGATAATGTTTTTATATTTATTTCACCCAACTAGCATTCTGATTGTTGAAACGGAGACTGTGTCAACTGTTTATTTTCTTTTTAGAGGACTGGGCTTCTGGAACAGCTGCGGCTCTGGCAGGTGGCATCACCATGCTAGTGGCTATGCCAAACACAAAGCCATCTGTAGTGGATCTATCTTCTTTGGAGAAGGCATTCCACTGTGCCAGCAAGAACGCAAGGTAGAAGAAGAATTTATTAGTGATTGAACGTAGTCATTGTCACTCATATAGGTCGTCATGATTTTTTCGTTTCGTTTTTTTTACACACCTTTTTTCGGTTTCCGGTCGCTATATTTTTTTCATTTTTAATGGTGTTTAATCAAAGATTAAATCAAAACATTATGGACCAGAAAGAGTAAAGAGAGAGTGTAGTTGTTAAGAGGTGCACTAAATTTGAATGAAGTGAAAGTATTCAGAACAGGACAATAATGAATGTAAAAGGCAACAAAAAGTGGGATAAGAATCTTTCTGATGGTATTGATACAAAGCAGGGGTGGATCTAGAATTTTCTCGAGAGGGGGGGATTTTCAAAAAATTGTTGAAAGTTTTAACTTGTTTTTTTTTTAAGGCCGACAAAATTGATTTTTCGAGCTCTCCTAAAGCATTAAAAAGACGCTAATTTGACCAAATTTTCTGCGCCTCAGGCAAATGTTTAAAATTAAAAAAAAACGTCTATGGGCACTTTTTGGAAAATTTTGACAAAAAAAATCGCGTTTTTTTTGGCGCGTGCTCCCCCTCAAAATTAGTAAATATTGGCCCCAAAGGCGCCTTTAGAAAAATTTTAGGGTCGGTCGGCCAAAAATGGATTTCTTAAAAAGAACCAAAGGGGGACCCTTTGGGTCGGCAGGGGGTCGAATCCTTCCCCTTAAATCCGCCCCTGATACAAAGTATCCCATTGAAGAACGGGGAATGAAAGAGTTCATTAGGGATACTTGTCCCATGAGTGATCAAATATCGTCTAAACGTTTCTCTGATTTAAATAATTATCTAACAAGTTTGCAGATGAACTAACAAGTCAAGCTGCAATCATAGAACCGTGTTAAAGGTATCAGTTTGTATAGTAAATTGAAGTCCAGTCATGTTAGTATGGTGCATAATTTAAGGTTTCCTTTCTTGTTTCACTTTTCAACATTGCAGGTGTGACTTCGCTCTGTTCATTGGGGCTACGGAGACCAATGCGGGCTTGATTCCTGCTCTGACGAAGAGTACTGCGCTGGGTGGGTTGAATGTCTAATTGTTGGTTAAAAATGAAGAGCGAAAAAGATAGACTAAAAAATTACAATTTAGAACAACATCCAATTTAATATATATCCTAGAAATAGTGTTGGTAAATCGGGGTTACTATTTGTTTTGATTGACTCTATGCAATAGCTTGTCAAATGAGAGAGGGAGAGCTCCCCTTAAATTCTGGTTGACATGTTTTCTTTAAAGGTTTTGCGGCTCTTTTTCAGTTTCCCATCCCCTCGTAAAATATGAAAAAATATAACTGTTCAAAAATTGTTCACACGGCATTTTGCATGTAAGAAGTGTTGTAAAAATTTGTTCACCTGTTCACGCTAACATGTTTTGATGAAGTTTATAATATTAAAAGTCATTTAAAACAGTCTTGCATCGAAAGAATTTCAGGAAAAGTCAAAGGGGGGACTGGAAAAGAGCCGGTTTTGCAGCTGTTTCTGGTTTACCAATCTGTGGTAACCAACGTTTTGATTGGGATATCATTTGATAGGTATCATGGAAGACGGATCTGGAGATAAGAAGCCTCTGCAAGTGACAGGGTCAGCTGTCAAAATGTACCTGAACGACACTTACTCTACTCTGAAGTTGTCAAACATGTCAGACTGGATGAAACACTTCGAGGTATCATTTTTTTGGTGCTGAAAAGGTGTTTTTGGAATTGTTTGTGATGGCAACTTTTTTCTAGTGGTCTTTTTCTGTCATATTTTATTCAAAATTGATGTCAACTCCCAAAGTGAGAGTAGAGTGTTCATTTCAATAGTTGAAGTCGTTGATTACTCTTGCGAAGCGAGTGTATTAGTACGAACCTTCTTTTTTTCCAACCGAAGTCGCAAATATTGGTGCTACTTCTGGGGCACTTTTACAGCTTTTTGATAGCATATGATTTGACATTCGGATAATTACAAATTAACACAGTTGAGGCATTTTTAATTTATCAAATGAAGCGAAAAAAGTGATTTGTTTCAAACAACGTAATAATAATGAGAACTCGATTTCAGAAACTTTCTGACTCATATATCTCGCATTTTTTTTGAAATGCATAATTTATACATAATGTGGCTGTATGCTTTCCGATTTGTTACATGCAAAGTTAGTGTGGATGCCTTCAGTTTGTTATATTCCAAATTATTACATGAAAAATTGAGTCTATTTGTATTTGGTGCCACTTTTGCTGAATTGCTTTAGCACGTTATTAGCATATTTAGCTGCTTTATTCGTGACTAGTGTTTGTCGGGGGTTAAGCTTGCGCGGCTGAGTGGATAAGTAGGTCGCAGATTCGAATCATACAACTTTTTTTCGTATATATCTACTTATTCGTATCTGTTTGCTGTATCTTCACGTTGTCTGACCAGTTATATTGCAGTGACCTAATGGCTAGTTTTTTCTACCTCAAAGAGAACTGTTTACCTCGTCAGATGATTTTTTATTCTAGAATCACTTTTTGACGATTTCTCTGCGTGAATTTGGTAGATGAGAGAATGTTTTTTATGATTTTGGTTAATGTGAGGGTCAATTTAGTAATGAAAGTGCAAATGAATATGAAATGAGGGTCAGTGATCACAGTAACATTATGAGAATTTCTGTCAGAGTTAGAAATAGTTTGGTTTTCGGTCTAATGGTAACGAAATTGATTTTCAAATCAAAACTTTTCGTAGCTTAGGCTAACATAACAAAAATTTACAAATTTTTTGCTGTAACGGAATATCGCCTTGGTGAAAGTTTTGGTTCAACTTTTTCGCAAGTGTTTTCTTCGTTTATATGAAAGTAATAGTTGTTGTCAATTTTTTGTTAGCTTGTTTTGTGGTGAGTTAATTAAGTCAAGCTTCCTGATCCACAATGTATTTCAGTTATGTCCCCGTGACTTACCCTTGTGTGTCCATGCAGAGGGCCATACAATGGGCTCTGCTATTCTCCTTGCGGAGATGTTCGATCGACATGTTCATATATGTCATGTGTCCACCAAAGACGAAATTGAGATTATCAAATTGGCAAAGAGCAGAAACCTCAAAGTGAGAATCATAATTACATAATAATTTAAAATAATAGTTTCATGCAATTGTTCATTTTAAGTCTTAATTTCATGTCTTGTTTCCTGAAATCTTATTGCAAAATTTTAGATTCCATGTAGGGACAATTTGTTGGTAATTGAATGTTGGCATATGGAAATCAAAAAACAGAAAACAAAAAGAATATGTTTTGACTCCAAGGAATCATTGTGTAGTCACAAACCGTATTGTTTAGCATATCGAAGTCTCAAGTTCAAAAAGATTTTGGTGCTTTGTTTTTTTACACTAGCCAGCTTGCGAGCGTTAGTGTATTTAATTCTTGAAATAATACAACTTTTTTAAATATTGATGCCAAAAGCCATGAAGTTGGTTAATTTCTAGGTTACCTGTGAAGTTTGTCCCCACCATCTCTTCCTGTCACGTGACCAACTGGAGGACAAAGGGGGTGCGTGTTGTATGTTGAAAGGAGGCAGACAGGAGGTAAGACCCAGACTAGCTACAAATGTGGACCAGGAGGCTCTTTGGAATAATTTGGACGTGATCGACTGTTTCGCCACTGATCATGGTGAGTCTCATTTTAAATAACGATCAGCAGTATTTTGTTGTCATCGCCAATTTTAGCAGCTCAATCGCTGAATGATAATATTTGGGGAATCATTAACTTTAATTAAATAAAAGTTTTTTTGGATCAATTGATCGATCCGTAACCCCCCCTTCTTTGCCTCTATTGATTCTTGCCATTGATGTTTTTGGGTTTTGGATGTTAATAAAAATAGGGCCCTGTGAATAAATCTGAAAGTGCACAGCTTTGCTAGTGCAAATTTTTCAGCTAAATTAAAACAGCGCGATTTGAAAACTATGTTTTGATTAGCCCCCTCCCCCCAGCCCAGCTCCTATCATTTAACCTTGGGTTTTTTTCCGTGGGGAGAGACATGTTATCCATTTTGCATCATCCGCAGCCGGTTCCACCTTGAGGAGGCGGATGACGCTGGGGCACTTTTTGAAAACTACCTTAAGGCGGATGACGCTTTTGAAAACTAGGAAAATTAGCGGGTGTGGGGTTTTATGAAATTGCCTTGTGACAAATTGACGTCATGTCTTTAATTATACAACTTTTTCATTTTAATGCAACTGCTTCTTTGGCAGAAAAGGGGGAAAGCTACTAAATTAGATACCAAGATACTTTTATTCCGTTTGTTTTTGCCAGCTTCTCCAATTTTGACTAAGGTGTTTATTAACTTCACCGCGTGGCTGTAAAAGTTCGAAGAAATCTGCATAATAAATTATCATCTTTTTAATATTTGAGTTTTTTTGCAGCTCCACACACACCTGAAGAAAAAGACTCCGCCAACGCTCCTCCCGGCTTCCCAGGCTTAGAAACGATGCTGCCACTCCTTCTAACAGCAGTGCATCAAGGGAGACTAACTATTGAACAACTGGTGAACAAATTGCACCATGCGCCGAAACAGATATTCAATTTATCAGAGCAGAGTAAAACTTTTGTGGAGGTTGATTTCGACCATGAATGGACCATACCCAAGGCTATGACGTATAGTAAAGCGAAGTGGACTCCCTTTGAAGGTACGAGTTGATATGGTTATTGGTTTCCAGGTCATCTCGTCCATTTACATAAAGTTTCTTCGGGGATTTTCTAAACTACACTTGCATTAATCTTAAAATAAGTGCTCCTAAAATAAGGTTTTCCATTCGGAAGAGCTCAAGAAACATATAGACTTTTCCATAAATTTCCTTATTTCATGAACACGTCAGTGCTGATGTTTGTTGATGCGAGATATGAAAGATAGCCAGGCTATAGTTCTGAAACATTTTTACTGGAATATTCCATATGATTTTCGTACGTATTTTTGAAGAAATTGTGAAGATATTGTTAATAATTTGAAGTTTGTTTGTTCTTTAGGTATGAAAGTGAAAGGCGCAGTACGACGTGTAGTCCTGCGAGGCGAAGTGGCGTGTATAGATGGAGTCGTGGTGGCGAAACCTGGATTTGGAAAACACGTGACATCTTCTCTTGCCACAGCTGAAAAAATAGTCACAGTTAAGAGGGAAGATGTCAGGGCATCGGGTATGTACCCAAGTTATTTTAAAAAAATAAAATTTGATTACCTATTCCTACGAATTTTTTTGATGGCAGGGTTGCATAGAAATTGATGGTAGTCGCGGAATTATAATAAATGACTCAATATTTAAGCAACTAGTTTGAGTCTGGGCTATTCTAATGACACAGTGCTTTATGGACCAAGATCACGAAAGTTGTCAATCATTCTATGTGCTTTATATTATCCGAAACTGAGTGATTTTTCTGCTTGGTTCTTCCAAATTTTTGAAATATTTTTTGTTCAGATTTTTTGGGTATTCGGTACTTCTATCATCGTCATCGTATATTTGAAACAATCATCAGTTTTTCGAAGGTGGGATAAGGGATACCCTTGTCATAGTCTTTCGTCAAAATTTGAGATATATTTTCAAGCAAATGTCTTATTGCAAAAGGTGTCCGTAACCGTCAGACTTGTCTGTCCCAGTTGATGATATTTCATTGTCAATGGGATACGTGAGGTTGATGGGTAGATCAGTTGCGATCCGTATTAAGATCCGTAGAATTAACCTCTTACACGGACGAAAGTTTTTAAATAAGTGCGATTGGGGGGAGGTAATTGAAGGAATTTGATCTCTTGATAACAAAAGTCATTGAAGTCTGATTTTAATAATTGCGTTTTTTTTCATACAGTAGTGTCTCCGGCTGTTGTGTATGGACCGCCTGTGATGAGTCCCAAACTGACGTCAGCAGTCGCGGCTTCAGTGGGCAAACCGAATGGACCTTCAGTCAGATTGAGCAGCCATATTCGATCAGCAAATGATGGTGGGAACTTGAATTTTTATTTCGCGTAAAGTTTTCAAAATTTAACTTAAATATTCAAGTTTTAACAACCTGCATGTGATATTATGTTTGAGAGTAACGAACGCAGTGAGTACTCTTATAAAGGTCTTGCTGATTTTTTTTCGTTTTTTTTTTAGGAAAAAATATTAAAAAATGTTCACGCTCAATTTTGATTTTTGCGGTTTGACTTGTGATTTCTTTTTAAATTTAGTGCATTTAAATTGTTAAAAGGAAGGCAAACTCCACTATCGAACAGCAAAAGTGTAAAGGCCACGAAAAAGTAATGACTTCTGATTTCGAAAATAAAAATTAATAAACAGATTTTCCAGCGAAATAAAAGTTTTGCCTATTGATCCAGTTTTCTCAAATTGGGTTTACTTTATCAAAAAAAAAAACGTCAATCATAAATTGTTCCACAAACTCAAAGAGCTTTAACGCCATTTTTTTTTTCTAATTTCAAATGAAGGTTTTACAAAAAAAGTCAGTTTTTTTTCAGTTTCTTTGCGTTCATTACTTTTGTCTAACTGTCAATTGGCTATGTTTTTTGCAACATAGCTACGTGAAAGTGTAATAGCTGATGTTTGCAAATAAATTCCCTAAAATCGCCGAGTGCTTAATCTCAATATTCCAAGTAATTATTATTTTTCAGATGGTCTAACTCTAGCACTATCTCAAGACCTATCTCAGGCCAGCCAGTCCTTGCCTTCGCCTCCCAAGAAGTTCATCCAGCAATCTGTACATGGAACGCCTGTTGCATTCCCACATCAGGTATGTTTTGGTTTCATTGATATGATGAGCTAAATTAAGAAGGAGCTGAAACTTCAATTCAAATTCATCTGATTAAAGGAAGGCAAATTACGCTCTCCGATTACGAAAGTAGAAATGGCGCAAAAAGAATAAACTAATTCTAGCAAATCTAAAATTTACTGGTTGGTCCAGTTTTCTCAAATTTGATTAATTTTATCAAAAAAAGAGTCAATCGTAAATTGATCTTGGAAGTCAACGAGCTTTATGATTATCTGTTTTTCCTTTTAAATTTGAAAATTGTGATTTTTGCAAAACACAAGTCAGACAATTTTTCGGATTACCTGCATTCATTGACATTTTGTCGGTCGGCTAGGTTCAGATTTAGCTAATTAGTTCAAGCGCCAATTTTCTCGAAGTTATATCTTGTGTAAAAAGGTTTACTAGTAAAGGTTCCTAATATCGAGAAACGGAGGATGATCCGAGTTGATTGAATGAAGTGTTTTAAGATCATTTGTCCACGAGGGACAGGACCAACATACGAGCTGTACAGCTCATCACGGCGAACCGCTGTTGTGCCCCTGCTTAAGAACTACATGCAATTTTTTTGGTTATTTTTCTGGGCTGGATAATGTTGCCTCACCCTCAAGCAACGAGCACGGATCATGGTGGGCCTCGAACATCCGACCTTTTCGATTGAGAGGCAGAGACGTAACCACTTCACCAGTGTGTTCTTGAGGGTCGTATTTTCATTTTTTTTACGGTTGGAGGGGTCCCAGTGTCATGCGCCTCCTCAAGGTGAGACCGGCTACGGCAAAATGGATGACATTTCCCTCTTGGTTGGTCCTGCATTGAGAAGGACTGGGGGTTTAAAAAAAAAAAGACCAGAGTTGAATGAAGTGATGATTGTGTTGATCAGGTGTCGACTCCGACGGGAAGTGTGGTTCAGTTGTTGCCTCCTCCTCAGCCCCAGCACCAGTTTGTAGTCCCATTGCAGTATGACTTGAGAGGACAGCACATTCTCACTGTGTCTCAGTTCTCAAGGCAGATTGTGAGTAAAGGTTTTTATTACAAAGCATAAATTCCCTCAAGCATATTAAGCTTGCAATTTTTTTCATGGGTTTTAACGGTTTGATTCATGTTAGGCCTATGTCTAATTTTTTAAACGAAATTATTGAAAACACAACGCCTACATAATTTAATGGATAGCCCGTTACTGTGGAATTAGCACAGTATGTTCCGACCATAGTCTTAAAAAACATTCAAGTAAATGTCATTTTTTTCTGCCTGGTGTGATAAAAAGATCTGAACAAAAAAAAGACCATAAGCAAATTCTGTAGTCATATTACAAACAGGCCAATTGTAAAACTGTTTTTGTAGAAAACAAAAAAAACGTAAAAAATTGTTTTGCCGATGTTTTTTTGATTCCCAAAATGTCGCTAACAAAACTCAAAAAAACTAACTTTACTTGAGTGAAAACAAGTTTTTACGGCTTGAAATAAGCATGAAAACGCTATTGCAAGCCTGCGCGGTCATCTTATTAGATCGAAATGAGAGCAAACATTTTTTCGAAATAAGGTAATGTTGTTCGAATCATAACTGAAAGGGCTTTATTTTAGACATATAACTTGACCCATTCCGATGATTTTTTATTGCACCTAATTTTAAGTGGAAAACCAAAAGAAAAAACTAAAACACACCCGAATACAATGTTCCTTCGCATTTTTACACTAGTGGCCGCGTTTTTACACTTGCGTCAGTGTAATATTACGAACATTTTTTTTCTAACCGTAGTCGCAAATATTGATGGCGTTTTTGGGGCTCCTTTACAGCTTTTTGATTGCATGTACTTTGACTTTCAAATAGTAATTAGTTAACACAGTTGATGCATTTTCCTACACTTGCGAAGCCAAGTGTATTAGTACGAACTATTTTTCCAACTTAGGTCGCAAATAAAAGTGCTACTTTTAGTGGCATTTTTGAATTGGTCGGTTGCGGTAGCAGTATAATATCATATGTGCGTTGACAGTTGATAAGTGAACACAAATCATGCATTTTTAATTTATCAAATGAACCGAAAAAAGTTATTTGAGTCAAATAGCAGTACAATCATAAGAAAGATCGATTTCAGAATCTTTTCAACTCAATGTATCTCTGTATACGCAATTTGTTTGAAATGCATAATTTATACATAATTTGGCTTAATGCTTTCCAATTTATTACATGCAAAATTGTGTATTTTTTTTGGTGCTGCGTTCGCTGCATCGAATTGGCAATTTATAAGCATACGTAGCTGCGTTATTGGTGGCTAGTTTTTGGGCATTGTAAGCATCCGTTGCAGATTCGTATTTGACACGTAGCCAAGTTTTTGATAATTCGAGTCGTATTTCTATTTATTCTTATATCACTTGATAGAGCTGATTTTTGGTCCTGTTCTTGCTACTGTTTGCGAAGCGCAGCTTCGCCTCTGTGTAATTCATCAAATGAACCGAAAAGTGTTTTTTGTTCCAATCAAAAACAATACTAAAAACTCGTTTTCAGAAATTTTCTAACTCAATATATCTTGCAATTGTTTGAAATACATAATTTATACATAATGTGTCTAGTTTTATGCTTTCCGATTTATTACATGCAAAGTTAGCGTTTAGTGCATGAGACTCAAAATCTCTTGATTGCTGTAGGTTGCAGATTGAATCCGAGACCTAGAGGAATTTTTACTAATTCGAGGCTTATTTCTATTTTGTCTTATTCTAGAGCTGCTTTTTGTCGTGTTCTCGCTAGTGTTTGCCAAGCGAAGCTTCGACTATGTGTTCAAATTGTCGGATCAAAACAGCGAATAAAGACATTATTGTGATATTCTTATTAGTAAAACGTTTACGGCTCAGAGCTTTGAGGAAAACGAACAAACAAAAGTATTTTTTTAAAGAAATATTTTCTTGCGAAAAACCGCTACTGGACTTAACCCCCAGGATAAAATTCCTCAGGATAAGATTCCCCTGATAAATTCTTCCCCGATTATAATTCAATTGATAAAATCCCACGGGGTTTATCCGCCAGGACTAAATTTCATAATCCTATGAGTGTGAAAATCACCAGTGTTTATTTTAATATCCCCCTCATTGGTAATTGACAAAAAGGCAACTCGAAAAATTAATTAAAACGTAAGAATAAGGTAGAATCCAAGAATAAGGTAGAATTAAGCCATATATAGAATTAAATTAACAAGACCGGTTAACAGTGATATCAGAAAACGGTATCAAGTTTTTCTCTTACATGTTTTCGCTTACATTTTTGTTGATATAATATATGATGCATATTGTATGCGTCTTAAAAGTTTCACGTTTATAGGGAAGGAAAAAACGGTCTAAGGTTTTCGTGGAGAGATCTCAGTTATTTTCCAAGTAAATAAAACCCCATGCTGTAAGTTGTTTTTCTGTTTATCAGCTGCACCACCTGTTCGAGATGGCGCATTTCTTCCGCATGCAGGTGGCCACTCAACACCCGAAGAGGGACTACTACTCCATGGTGTCCTCATCCACACATCATCTTCACCCTCAACACAGACCATCCATCAATGACGTCATGCGAGGTGAGATGCCACTTTCGATTGCAACGGTTTCGATTGCAACGGTTTCGATTGCAAAAAATCAAAAGGGGGGACTGGAGAAGAGCCCGTATAAGTTTTTCTCAAATTGAGTCCAATGAAAGAATTGAAGTCTATTGTACATAATAATTGTACCATAGGTAGAGTGATGGCCAGTCTGTTCTACGAGGCTTCCACACGCACTTCCTGTTCCTTCAGCTGTGCCTTCCAGAGGCTAGGGGGCCATGTGGTGGAGTTGAGTGAGAAGTACAGCTCACACCAGAAGGGAGAGTCGCTCACTGACACCGTGTGTAATTTTTTACGATTATATTCCTAGTTTTTTTAGAAACTATTTTTTGAAGATTTTAACACATAAATCTGTCTTTCGGGACCAATATATATTTTACGGACCTTAATTATCATATTTCTACCAAATTTTTAATTTACTGCTATCATATTAATTGATTCATTTATGAATGCACTTAGGTATATATGCACTTTTTGGTTCAAATTAAATTCATCTGCTGAAAGTGACGTAAATAGCGCTCTCCAAATACGAATGTGGAAATGGCGCAAAAAAAAACGTGAAAAATTTCTAGTTTCGAAAGTGGAATTTATTTTTAAGATTTCCCAGCGGAATAAAAACTTTACCTATTGATCCAGTTTTCTCAAGTTGGGTTCGTGTTATCAGAAAAGCGCCAATCATAAAATGTTCTAGAAATTCAAAGAGCTTACAGGGCATCTCTTTTTTTTCTTTGAAATTCGAAAGATGAGATTTTTTTCAACAAAGTCAGTATTTTTTTGTTAACTCGCGCTCTTGACTATTTTCCAATTCTCTGTTGGCTATAATCTTTCTTCTCAATTATCCAATTTTATTCATTGCAGGAATTGTTCATTTCAGGTGAGTGTGATGAGTGGGTATGCAGATGTAGTGGTGATGAGACACCCAGAAGTGAATGCAGTCAACCAGGCCTCCAAGTACTCCAGAGGGAGACCAGTGATCAATGCGGGAGACGGCACAGGCGAACATCCCACTCAGGCTTTACTGGATGTGTTCACCATCCGAGAGGAAGTGGGTACGGTCAATGGATTGGTGGTAAGTAACAATTTAATTAGGCTTGAATGAACACCCTGGACTTTCTTATGTTCAGGTCTTAATTCGAGGGGCGCTAGGAAATTAGACGACAAGCAAACTAGACGTCTCCAATAAAACGGAATTTAGACGTTAATTGTTTTTTTTTGCAAAACTGGCACTTTGGACGAATACCAAATGGCTAACCAAAACTTATTTCTTGAAACGAATTTGCACAATTACAAAAAGAGCATATAATCATTTTGCGTGTCAAAATATTTATTACAAATGATTTATAAAACGTTAATCTGAATATTATGGAACATTTTTGAAATGCATAAATTATAAACATTTTTGATAAGATATAAATTATAAAATTGATTCGTATTTAAGAAATCTCAAATGACAGTACATTGTAGCCAGCGAAAGTTGATTTTGTTGTCAGTAAACAAATTTCACACACGTTAACAAAACAATTACGTTTAGTTTACAATTTTTGTAGTTTTCCATCGACATCTAAATTAAGTTTTTTTTGTCACATCTAATTTGCCTTTCGTCTTATTTCCTGTTTCGAGTGCTTTTTTTTAAAAGTGTAGTGTTTCTCGCTCATATTTGGCGTGAGTTTTATAACCGATTTTTCACTGGTTTTGAACAAACATGCTTGTGTTATAGTATGATCTATCTTTTTTTTCCAACCTAATATTGTTGCAATGTAAATATTGTTGCGATAAAATGTGTGCATTTTAATCAATAACCAGCTATTAATATTACAGCCAATGCTAAGGATTTTAACACAGATTTTTATTGTTCCGACTTTCGTAACGAAAGTAACGGAATATTTGTGCTCGGGGTGGTTTTTTTTCAGACAAATTTGACTTTTTAACTAGCCATTTTTGACGTTTTCTTGTATCATTCAAAAACTATTGTTGTCCTGATCTTAAATTTGGAAAGATATTTCAGCTGTGATCTTTTTTCGTAAAGTTATGGGGGTATAAAAATTACCATTTTGGCCAATTTGGCTCCGTCATTTTTATTTTGGCTCCGTCATAAAAACTGTTCCAAATTGGTCGAAGGAAGCTTATTGGCCATAATTGATTTGTTCCTAGGAGCGAAGTTTTATTTTATTTGTACTTAATATGGCTGGCGTGTGGGGGGTTGATTTTCACAAAAAAATCTCAAATTAAAAAAAAATCGTTTTATTTTTATTACATGTAATTTTTTCATGTTATTACTGCTCCATAGACTGCTCTATGAATTGAGGCACGTTAGTTGGTAATTTGTTTTTGAAATTGACTGTTTTTGCTAATGCGCCACTTAAGAGTTTTTGTAGACTCAAAGTTTTACTCATTCAGTTTTTCCCAGTAGCGTTATTGGTAATATTTTTGCTTGTGTATGCAAAGTGTAACTTCGCTTCTGTGTTAACTGAGTTTTTTCAACCGAGTAAAAGTCTTGGTGATCATGAGATCTTTTTTCCCCTGTTTTTGGTGATTGGTGTCAAAATTATGTCTAAAACTTCTTAGAGCCTAGCAAGCACTCAATTCGACGAATGTGTCAGTTGTCATATTCATACTTAGTTTTTTTTATGTGACAATTACTAATTTGATTAGATTATTTTGACAATTACTAATTTGGCTAGTTCAATAATTATTATTCTTTCGACTACCATGCATTATGAAAAAATGTAGTTTTTTGTTCCGACCATTTGAAACCCCTTTTTCCTCGGAAAATCAGCTACCACAAATAATCATTGGAGAGAATTGAGTGGTAAAGCCCTTTCAGTCGTGATTCGAACATAAAAAAAAATTCCACAAATTTCTCCCAGTGTCGAGAAAAATCGTTTTGAAATTTAAGGTTTTTCGTCTTAATTTGAGCGAATAAAGCGAGCGAGCATGCTTGCAAAAGCTTATTTTAATGACTTGAAATCATACAATAGTTTAATTTAAAACGTAAAAACATTTTTGAGTCTTTTGGTGTTTTTTTTTGGAATCAACAATTCAAAAAAACTGCAAAAAAAATTTGGAAATTTTGTTTGTTCATGTTTTTTTTTCGTTTTGCTAGTCATGTTTCTACATTTTTTTCCAATTACTTATTTTATTATGACTGTCGAATATGCCCAATCTTCGTTTTTTCGTTCTGCTCCTCACGACGAAAAGAACGACACTAATTTGAAAAAGTATTTTTGTATTTTTTAAGACTATGTTACTACTTGACATTTTGTACTACTTGCACAGTAACCGGCTACTCTTGTTTCATGTTGAAGACTTTTTGTTACGACTTTCGAAGATTTTTACTCTAGCGAGCAGCGTGGTGTATCAGTACGAATCTTCTTTTTATAATCTACCTAGCATAAAATGTTCTCTTATTTGGTCACATTTTTGCTATAAGTACGATATGCAGCATTGGAGTTTTGATAGCATCTGTTCTATACTTGATCTTTGGCTACTGTATGTGATTTATTAAGCGTCAGTAGCTGAGTGGTTAGTGATTGAGACTCGTTATCTCTAAGTCGCAGATCGAATCATAGACGTAGCCGAATTTTTGCTAATTCGAGGCTTATTTCTATTTTTTCTTATTGCACTTTATAGTGCGGAATATTTATAGTTGGTGTGCTTTTGTTATTCAGTGTGTATTTTGTGTAGCATCTGAAATGTGTTATTGTCCTGAGCTCAAACTTGAAAAGATATTTCACCTGTGATCATTTTTTGTAAACTTAGTGGGTTTGAAAAGTGATTAATCGGCCAAGTTAAACAAGTAACGCGCGATTTCTTGCTTTATTTTAACATGCGTAAGCGGCGGATTAATGCGTTCTAAATTGCGTTCCCATTTCTCTTTTTCATTTGTTTCGCCATTTTTTCAACAACAAATAAATTAATTGGCCGTAAAGTGCAGTCGGAACAGTCAGGGCTTCGCCCTGATACACGAGCAGTCTTGTTTCAGGTTAACAACAGTCTAACAGAATTCCTGAAGCCTATCATTGCTTGTTATTTAAAAAATTCGAATTGTTTATCTTCATCAACACATTTAATCTTGGTACTTCTGCCTTGGACTGCAAAGGTACTCATTTTGAAACCGGAGAGAAACTGTTTTTTTTTTGCAAACTGAAAAATTTCACTTGAAACAAAAAGTATAGTATCCCCTATAGTTATTCTGCTCAGTCAGCACGGAATTTTGAAACCGGAGAGAACCTATTTTTTTTTGCAAATTGAAAAGTTTCCCTTGAAACAAAAAGTATAGTTTCAGTTTCCCCTATAGTTAGTCAGCACGGAATTTTCGAATTTCAAAACTTGATAGCTCACAACATCATTCGATACGTATTGAAGATTTAGTTTTTTGAGTTTCAAATATATTTTTTCGATTTTTAGTACCCAATAGTTTACATACAACTCATGATTTCAAAAGTGTTTTCTGTTTTTTTTTAACATAAACAATCGATCAATGTTAAATTTTTTTAACGAGTTTCAGGTGACGATGGTAGGTGACTTGAAACATGGTCGTACGGTTCACTCATTGGCCAAACTGCTCTGCTGCTACAACAACATCACCCTCCGATATGTGTCCCCCTCTAATCTGAGAATGCCAGACACCGTGAAGAGATATGTAGAGCAACATGGCACTACTTTCACACAGGTCACTACACATAACGAAATAAGTTCGGGAATTGAAATGGGATAATGATTATCGAAAATGCTGCTATCAAGAGAAATTTAATATGCTCGAAATTAAGGCCGCTTGGCAGTATATTGAGGTCATGAAATATCATCAAAGCGAACCCTAATTCCTGAGCTTTTCTTCTCGCATGTATCGGAAACTCGCCTTGACTGACCAAAGAGTATCTCATTCAACTTCTTCATTTTGCTTACCTCACTCATGATTAAAAATAGCTTCCTGAAGCTCAGCAAAAAATCTTTGATTAAAGCTGATGGATTGCATGGAAGAACTCGCTTTTTGCAAAAATTTTAACAAGTAATTTGACCTACTTGAATAAGTTTTTCACACAAAATTAAATGGCAATTAATTTTTAAGAAAATAAGAAGTTTTCTGTGACTATGGGTTCAATGAGTGAATATAATTCGTAACTGGTTTGTTGGATGATTAAGTGTAGCTGTGTTGTGTATTTAGATCGAGGGATGCAGTTTAGAAGAGGCGATTGCAGACACTGATGTGTTGTACATGACCAGAATTCAGAAGGAGAGATTCACAGACAACAGCGAGTACCTCAAGGTAGACATGCAGTCTCTTATTTGGTGTTCAACTCTTATTGAGTTTTTGGGCTGATGTTTTCATCTTCGCTGCGTGCGAGTAGTTTTTACAAGGATTGTTTTGATAAACCCTATCGATAAAAGTTTACCAATTATGAAACTGCAAGTGAAATTATGATATGTTTAAATTCCAAAAAGACTAATTTTGTCATCGGCACTAGTATATCTTGGTTCGTGTGATTAAATAATAATATAGTTCTGATACATTGGTATAGTTAACTAAATGCGGTTATGTCTAATTATTGCTGGTGAATATTTATCACTCAGTAAGGTGTTTAGAGCTGCAACCTGTTCCGCCTGACTCCTCAGTTGATGACCAGGGCAAAAGAGAAGATGATAGTGATGCACCCTCTGCCACGATTGCAGGAGATAAGGTCAGTTTGCGAGAGGGTGGCTCTTTTTGATATTATTCACGAATTTCAATTTGTTCACTATAGGAATTTGTTCATTGCGAGTTTTTAGAAATTTAAATAACCTGTAAACGCTATTTTCAGAACAAAGATAGGTCACAGACTTGCTCTCAATTGGCCTTAACTGTAGATAAGCATAAGAATTCATGAGCCTATGTGTGACCTTTGTTCCAGCTGTGAGGTGGACGCGGATCCTCGTGCAGTGTACTTCAGACAGAGTGAGTTCGGCATGTATGTGAGGATGGCACTGCTCACCATGCTCATCGACAACAGACTCACTCAGTTCAAGTGAGCAGAGATAAGAAGAGAAAAAATATGACGGAAAGAGAAGAACTATTGCAAAATCGGCAAAACACTAAAACATATTTTTATCATCTCTAAAAAAAGCTCATGCCCCAACAGAAAGAAGAAAAAGAGAAGAATTATTGCTTAATTAACTACAACGAAAAAAGACTTGTAATTCAATTCAATTCAAATACATCAACTTCAAAAATGACTGAAGAATCTCAAGGACAACAAACTCAAACAGTTCAAATGCGGAGAAAAAATCACAGGATAAGGAAATTATATGCTGGGAAAGTTGTCTAAAATCAATTCGGATATTTCGAAAAACGATTGTAAACAGTTATCAAAAAAATCAATTATTGGGAACAGAGCAACAAAAAGAGTGGAAAAAAACGACAGAACGGAAACGTCTGAGGAAATTTGTTTAAATATGGAAGGTAAATGTGGAAGGAAACTGGAATAGTTTCAGCATTTTGAGCGAAAACAAAGCGATCAGTTTACAGAAAAAAAACTACCCCAGAAGCTTCGCTGGAAATTGAAAAAATCGATGGGCAAATTATTATCAAATGGAACTGAATACTTGGAACAGAAGTAGACCTTCAGTTCTCTAATCATATGAAATTTGAACTACAGTTTTTATAACAAGAGCTCCTATTTATTCGGTAGTCGGATTGGACTAAAAAAATTTCGTGACTGCAGGTTTTATTTGCACATTGACACATCATTGCGGAACTGACTGTCAAAAAAAACGGTCGAATAAGACGACAATAATACGGAAACATGACACAAAACGATGTTACGAGAATATAGCGATTGATAATATGGAAAATCGGAAAAAAATGTGCAGTTACAAATTTAAAGGAACACACAATTTAATAATCATACTGATACTCGTACTTAAGGAAAAAGGCCACAAAACTCCTTTTCCTTCAAAACATTTTATCTTACTCGAGCTGTAAGAGGTACAATATGTCATCTATCAATATTGAACTTGATTGAAAGTAAGTCATCAATTTGGTGCCAGTATTTAACTTAATTCTAGACGCACGCTTCACTGAATATTCACTAGTTATATCTGACAGTTAAATGGAAAAGTGAGCGACAATAGTCAGTGAAGCGTGTTGAGAGCTTCAAAACGGCTTTTACATAATGCAAAACGAACCCTTAAAAATAAGTGCCTTATTTTGTGCAATATTTTGTATCGCTTATTTACCACACTTGAATTGTTCTAAGGTGGTAATTTGCTGTTTATCTTTAAAATTGATTATCACTATAAAGTGACGCATTACCTTATTATTTTTTTGACTGAATTATTTAAGCGGATTTATCTTATGATCAATGAGTACTTGTGTGTTTAAACCTTGATAAATTTGTTCTTCATTCATTCTATTTGGTTGATGTGATTTTGTAAGTTGACGCCATTTGGTAAATTGCGACACTGGATGTCAAAATTTACAATCTCCGCAAGCTTGTTTTCCTTGAGATACATCTGAGATTTTAAAAGCTCATTAGGTTGTTTACGTGAATTGTTAGTATAATTTCACTACTGAACAAGGGCCATTTCGGTTATACGGCCCGAAAATTCTTTTTTTTATTGGATCATGAAGGTCGAATCGGATTGGCTGAAATTAATTCTAGCGAACGGGATTTCCTAAACAATATCATTCATTAATTTGATAATTTTGTGCCTTAAAACAAAAGACATTTGAACACTGTGAGTTGCTTTAAGTAACTGTGATGCACCCTGAGCGGCACTCAAAGGAGGACAAGGGTTATGTAGCATTAAGAAGATAACCGCGTATGCATGCTCGTCAGCCAATGGACAAATACTGTATAAACCAATCAGAGTCGAGACAAGAAAGCGAAACGCGCACTGACAAACTTGAGATTGAAATTAATTTGAATCGATTTCATCCGAAAAATATGCAATAATTCCATTTACGATAGCCCATTTATATACGTAAATCAATTTAGAATGGATTAAATTGATAGTTTGATAGAAAAAGTTGTTTTTATTCCATCAAAAATGGATTTTCGCAAGATAGTGAAAATCATCAAATTCTCAATAAGACTGATCTAATTTATCTGTTCTTTTCCTTCCGAAGCTTAGACAAACTTTTGTACTAAAAAAACCTCCATCACAGCTACAGGAGCCAGAGTCACTCCAAGGGAGTTCTTACACAAACTATTGCGCTTAAGGGATTCCCTTTCAAATTAAGCAAAACTAAGGGTTCCCTCGGTAATTAGAAGTTAACTGCATATAATTAAGAAAATCAAATAAATAATTTTTTGTGCAGAAAGTTTAGGTTTTTATTATTTTCATAATTAATTTCAGTCCAATTATCAAAATAATTCAATTGAAAAGCATAAGGTAAAATTTTGTTTCCACTATTTCTCTATCGTTTAATGAACATAGTGAAGGCTTAAACAATTCTTGGTTATTTTTTTCAGGGAGAGTTCTTAAAATTGCTCACGCTTATTTTTAATTTTTTTTGCGACTTGACGTATGACTTCTTTTTTATTTGAGTGCATTTCCATTAATAAAAGGAAGGCTAACTCCCCTATTGACGAGCAAGAGTGTAAAGGTCACAAAAAACGAGATTGAATTCTAGTTCCGAAAGAAAAAATAAATGAGGTTTCCCCGCGAAGTAATATCCAAATTTTATTGGGTGTTGATCCAGATTTCTCAAATTGGGTTAGTTTCATGAAGAAAATGTCAATGTAAATTAGTCCAGAAATTCGAAAAGATTTAAGGCCATCTATTTTTTATTCGAATTCTGATGGGTGGGGGGTTTTGCAAAAAAAACAAGTTATGTTGTTTTTAGCGTTCACAACTCTTTTTCAGTTGGCTGTGTTTGATAAATGAGAAAAAGTAAAAGAAAGCTAAGCTGTACATAATCTGTATTGTTTTTATTTGGTATTAATAAAAATGGTTAAAATCAATTTTTTTATGCCAAAATCCATAGGAAAACGAAAGCAAAAAAAATTGTCAACAAGGCTTGAAATCGATTTAGAATCAATTGTAGTTGTTGTGTTCAGCTACATTTTTTGTATCTCTTTTAAATCGGTTCAAATTGATTTATTAAGGTACCTGCTGCATTATCCGTATACTTTAATTTTTTGCATTTTAAATTGCGCCATTCTAATTATGCTTAATTCTAATTTGGATTGGTTGTATGTTTTTTTTGTCTAAAATCAACCCGAATGGAGAAAAAAGCGTTCCAGTTTTCAAGTTTTGTCTGTTTTGACCGGATAACTTAAATCAGCACTAAACCTCAGCTGGAAAATAAAAATTTTGAAACTTCCTCAAAGTGGTCTGACCCCAGATTTTTTGAGCTACCTTTTTTTTCACAAATTGGTCAATTCTGTCAATCTTTTCCCAGTAACTAATAGTATATCCGAAAAATGGTGGCTTAAAGCAAAATTTGTCCTTGAAAATTTCTCATGTATTGTGTTACGAGCCCATTATTGCGTGGTTTTATTTTCACAGTTGAAAAACAGACATAATGACTTGCTGACACTTTAATACGTAATGATATATATGAGTCCTTTATCTCAGTTGTTCAGTTTGTTATCTGCAGATAAAGCTTGAAACTCACTTTAAACTAAATTTTTCTAATGAATATAATATGCTTGATCTAAAGTTTGTTTTTTTTTGTGACGCAAATTAGCTTGAAAATGTTAAATCTACAATTTTGTGAGGTAAAAGAAAGTCTCTTAATTGCCTATGCTTGGTGTCAGTTTATTACTTCGTGGTACAATAAATTATGCTCCGAAAATGTTAACTATCACTTACATTTTTTTCACACTTTTTGCCTTAAATGGTTTCCTCTAAGCTAAAAAATGAAGGGGACTGAAAAAGCGTATATTACTGCAATAGCTTCCATAATGATGTGAAACCTTCATAACGATTAGCCACCTACTCAGAAAGACGATACTGGTTTCTTTCAACTAAAAAGACCAAATTACGATTATAAAGTCCTTTTACTGTAATCTTTACAGTGATCAACCGTTTGTTAATTAATTTTTCATTCATGTTAGGGGGTTGTTTTAGGGGGGGGGGGGGGGGCATTAATGTGAAGAATAAGCATCGCAGTCAAACTGCGTAGGCCTAGGTAAATTATGGATTGTTGTCTCCGTTTTTTCAATTGATAGCTCATTTATTAAAAGACATTTGGTCTAACACGGAAATTAAAGTTTTGGGTAATACACTGACACTATCTTCCGATTTTTTGAACATCATTTTGTTGATAGTTTTGATTTAACGGAAGGTTTCGCGTAAACATTTATTTGAAATTAGTTTTGTTCTAACGGAGGTTTCTTGTAAGAATTCATTTGAAGTATTTAAGTATATTCCTGTATTACTTGTCCTTCGCTTATTGAGGTCCTCTTCTGTACGTGCATAAAACAATCTCATTAGTAGTTTCTGGTGTTTTTCCTGTTCTCCGAAGTTTTTAAATTGCTTTTTTGTTTACTTGACATTTTGAATGTCATTTTCTGAAGAAAAAAAACATCAAAACTCCTTAGACTTTCTGTCCGTGCCAGTTTTTTAGTAATTGGTTAACGTTTGATTAATATTTCCTTACTACCGCTTTTTATTTCTCAAGTTTTTGACATCGTGTACACGCGCTTATTAAAAATGAACTCAAATCGCATACAATTTTAAACTGAAAACTGAAATATAGCTAAGTTTTAAAATCAAATTTCTGGTTTAAGCAGCTAATCATCATAATCCTGAACCACTGTTTCATCTATTTTAGTTGGGCAGACTCTCATGCTTGTTTCTCGGAAAAATTCAAATTTCCTGGCGAATACTTGATCACTTAATCAAGCTGACAGTCGTAAAACTTCTTTTGTTATCTTTTAATTTCCGCAAGAGTGGTTCAGCCCTGAGGTGCTTCTTTTAATTTTCGCTGCCTAATTGACTTTTTTCGGACTTTTGCTGACATAAGTGAACTGAAAACTTTCGTGCTACAAAAATTCACTCGTTAAAAAAGTGAACTAATTTCTTCATCTTGAAAAGCTTCGAGCCTCAGAAATCGAGACTTATTAGCGAATTTTTGAGTGTTACTTCAAGAATTGACATTAATAATACAACGGAAATAACCCAACCTTGAAAAACAGATGCAATTTACCGAATTTGTGTGACACTAATTTTAGTTGTATGCACAATTGGCAAGCCTTTCAAAAGACTTATTGTTGAAATTATGAGCATTCCTTCATCTTCTTATGAAAAAAATGCCTATTTATCCCTGGAACAAAGCCTTCAGAGTGTTAATTTTGACGAGTTTGATGATGTACCAAACATCAATAGCGATATATCTACTAAAGAAACCGTTACGTTGAATTTGGAAACAGATGAATTGCAAGCAAACGGCGCGTTTTTTGAAGCTACAGAAGTTGAGGCAATTCTAGCCCCAGACAAAGAAAGCCCAAATGCGAATAAAACAACTGATCAAAATTTAATTGCTGAAGCTACTAATTCGGTTAAGCCAATAAACTCGCCCGAAAGCTCTGTTTCAAATACAGGCCAAGAAAAGAAACCAAGTAACGTCAGAGGAAAAACACAATTGTCTAAAAAGGAGCTGTTGAATACAATATCTAAGCCAATTATACCCCCGATAATTCCTAATGAAGTTCTACTATCGCCTTGGCGAACTGAACCGAAGCATCAAAACTTTACAAATATCGAAGCTGCCAAAAATATTTATCACAGACAGAAAACAACAGATGATATAAACCATTTTCCAAGCGGTTCTTCAATCTCCAAAGACGAAATCTTACATCTTAAAAGATCGCATAGCGCTTGTAAAGCTAAAAGCACCAAAAAAACATCATTCGAAGGCAACTACCGTTCTGGTGGCGACTCAACATCCGACCATTTGAACTACGATTACATAATACCGGTGAAAAACAATAGCATTGACGTAACATTTGACAGAAAGAAGAGTTATGACGTAACATTGGCTGCAAATACTCATGACTATTGCGCAACATGTCTGACGCCGAGTATTGCGACGACTGCCGAAGGAAGCTGTGCGTCTTCCCCTGGTTGCGAGAAACACTTTCCGGAACTCCGAGCATCCTGCCCGCAATTAGCCGCTCAACGAAAGTTTTCCCTCGGTAAGTCGGGCAAAAACTTCTGTGTTTTAATTTTGAGTTTTAACTAACCGCGCCTATAGTTTTTGAATGACATTGTTTTGACATATTTGACTCCTCCATCTTATAGAACTTACCCTCTCTGGCTTGAATTTCAGATTTTCTAGGGATTTTTCCGAATAAACTGATTCTTCTTAATAAAAACTCTTAAAGCCCAAGATTCGCAAAAAAATGCATATTTTTTTCTGCTCAAACTCTTAATCATGCGTTGTTTATATTCAACCCCATTTGCATTTTTTAAATTTCAGGTTTAATTCGTTTTGTGCGGATAGTTAAAATCAGTACTGTACAAGCTAACAAATTTTCCAATGTAAACTCCACTAATTTAAAGTTATGTTTTTTTCCGTTTCACACACACGTTTTTGTCGAAGTTTTGTATTCTTTTTTAAAGAAAATAATTTATTGTAATTAAGTACTTTTATGACTCTTGCGATAAGCAAGGGTATTGCAATCGGGTACTAGACTTTTTGCCCATAAATAACTTTAGGCACAGATTGCAGCATGCATGCAGTACAGGACATACGAATGCATTATTCAAATATGCAGTATGCAAATTATGCTTGTCTTGCAAGCAACGTTCAATGCAACTGCAAGTGTTGTTCTTTGCAGGTTCAGGAAGGTGGAATTAAATCAATTTGTTTTTCCCTCAACAGGTGTCTGCTCAAAGATTGTAGTTGTAGTTGCCTCATCACTGAGATTTTTTGTGCTGTAGGCAACCTCTTTTGTAGTTGAAAGTGCAAGTGTTGCTCATTTTTGTCTCAGGTGGGACTTGAAACTGTAAACAGATTACATGCAATCACATTTTTTGAGTTGTTGTTTTTTTTTTGTTTTCTTAAGACCATTGAATTGGTTGGAACATTCTGCGCGACTTGCACATTAACCGACTATCCTTGTTTAAATTGCTTTTTGTTCGCTTGCAATAAATTTTCCGATTGAACTTTAACTTTTTTGCACGAATCTTCTAACTTTGGCAATTGTAATCCTCTTGATATTGATTTGTATAATGTTGAATAATCTGGTTTAAAAATATTATAAGTAAGTGATGTCGAAAATTTATGAGTTGTGATCTATTTCACGGAAATATTTTCTAAAAAGTAATTAGCAACTAAACTCGACTATTCTTATTGGAGCGAAGGCTTGTAACGTCATTCAAAAGCTTATGGTTTAAAAAAACTCAAATATCTTCAGTAAAAAGAGAAAATATTGAGTTTTTCTAGATTTTATTCCATCTTCCTATACGCTTTTTAGATTACAATTAGTATCAATAACTTTCAGATTATATATTAAATTTCCGTCAAAAATTGGCAAAAAATGAATTGAAATTGTTTTGATAAATTATTTTGCCCGAGCACAATCGTCAGGAAACTTTTGCCGAAATTCGGCACAAAATTGGTTGTTTTGATATTTTTGGTCCAATTGTATTTCATTCACTTTTTGGAAAGTTGGAACATGAACTTCGATCAAATACGAGCAGTCTTGTTTTAAGTATGCGAGAAAGTTTTTATATTATTCGGGCTGACCAAAACTTCTTATCATACAATTTCCATGTGTGAAAAGTTTGTTACCATACACTTGTATGCAATTCAGTACGCACAACAAGATGCGTTAAGTCTTTGTGGCAATAATTTTTTCATTTATGAAAATTGTATGACAAGCTTAATTCCATAAACCAAAATTTTGGTTTCTTTTTGTTTTATTTCTGAAAATTTTTGGGTAGTGTTCTTTACCGAGCACAATTTAGAAAGACCTTGGTTTACTCAACACTAGAGTCACTAAAAATTGGACGGCCTTGCAGCTACAATGCATCCAAAACAACCTGAATTGCAACGAGCTGTCTTACACAAATAATAACGAAAGTAACAAACTTTTAAATCCAGCAAAATTTTTCATAAGATAAAATTTTTCAAAATATGATTTTTTAAAAATCTGGCATTGATTAAGGCTTAAACATGCCATACAAAAAATGGGCGTTTTTGTAGATTTTTGAAAAATTTCATCCAGCGGTTAAAAGAAAAAAAATTATACCTTCGTGTATCCAGGACTACGTTATGGGCACAAAAAATTAAACTTCGCATGCGAAAAAATTTTCTTAGGGTCAATTTTAAAGTTAATAATACTAAAAAGTTTTCGCCATAAGATAACTATTATACAATTTCCATTACACAATTTTTGGATAAGCATTTTTTCCAAAAAGTTTTTAAAATTCGTTGCTACCAACTTTTTCGAAGTTCATTAAAACTGACTGCTTGGTCTGCCATGTTGATAGAAAAATGTTTATCATACAAATTCCATATATGGAAAGTGTATGATGAGCTTTTTTTATACACTTGATGTTTGGAATTGTTTGAAAAACATTTTTGTTGTATAGACTTTTATGGTAATCTTTTTCGGTGTTTTGAATGGCATCTTATCTGAACATAAATCGATCATCCGGAACAGAGCTATTCATAACTCGAAAAATTCCCTTAAGCTAAAATAAAATGAATGAATCGAGACGTAAATCACAGTCTTACCCCGAGTTAAATTGAAAAGAAGAGATCATTTTAGTCAAACGAACAGAGTAGTCCGTTGAAAAAACGCAGGCAATCAAATCTGTCACTTTCTGGGCAGATGAACAAGTAAAACAGAACCCAATTAGTTAAGTGTCGCGATCTGTTACAGTTAAATAATGAGAAAAATTTAAATATTTCAAAAAGACGAGTATTCATCAAAAAATTGCCTAGCAACAATTTTTGCTCATGAAACATTTGTTGAAAAGTCATTTTTCAATTTTGCTAATAACTTTAAATTGCCCAGCCTTTGAAATTTTTCATTTCAATTTTTTCTGACAAAAAAATTGAAGTAAGGTTTCTCATTTTTTCCCCAATAGTTTTACCCAATAAATTGACAATTTTTAAAACATTACACCAAGTCAGAGAACAAAGATAACAGAGTTTTGTTTCACTGGTTAAAACAATTAATGTTTAAAATTTGAACTTAACTAACATTTAGAGAACCTAACTTAATAGTGAAATTTTGAGATGAATTTTCACTGGATTTTTTTTTGTAATTTTATCAATTCTGGGGTTAAAAAATATGGAGGGGGGTTGTTAATTATATCGGGAAAAATTGTAGTAGCGGTAGAAAGTAGCCGGACTAAATTTGGGGCAAAAGGGTATTCGAAATAAAAAAAAAGCAATGAAAAAAAATTGTGTTGATTTGCACTTGTCGGTTATATAGTTTGCTTTAATATTTAATAATATGCTTGTTGTAATTTTCAACGGCTATCAAGGGGAACAAAAAAATTTGGCTATCCGGGAACAAATTTATATTTAGGCTATCCGAGAATGAAATTATGTTTCGGCTAACCGGGTATTCGGCTCCGTGACACAGCACCAATAAGGTACCCTTGATAGTTCATATCTCTACTTGACTCGGATCTCTTTCACTATCCCTCCTTGGTACGGTGGCGTATCACGGAGCCGAATACCCGGATAGCCGGAAAATAATTTCGTTCTCGGATAGCTGAATGGCATCCGGGGGTGTCGATTGGCATGTATTCCTATTAGCAGTTCAGTGACGTTGTCAGTATACTTTGTTCAGTGAAGTTGTTTCAAAATTGCACCAAAAACTTTTTTTATTTTGGAAAAATCAACTTTTGTACTCCAAAAAAAATTTCCCAAAAAACGTTTTTTGTTCTGAATGAAAAATCAATTTTTGTGTGCATAACGTAGTCTTTGATACATAAATTGAGGTTTCAGATAATTTTTTTTCTAAAATACTCAAAAATGCTCTTTTTGTATTGCATATTTTGGGCAAGACGTGATATTTTAAAATTTAAACCTCAAAAAACAGCATCTTTGAAAATTTTTGCCCAAATTTAGAATTTTGCAATTTTCATAAAATTTTTGCGAGCAACTTCAATTCATGGACCAAACTCGAATAAACTCAACACTATTCATCACATGCTTCAAAAAATGTTCAAATTCATCTGCTTCAATCGAACGTTTCTTTTTTTATAGTTTATGTTTTTTAGAAGGAATGGAAATTTTTTTTTCACCATTTTTGCATTACACATTTTTCGGAAAATTTATTAATGCTTTCTTTTTCTCTTTGGTTCTTTTGTGAAAATTTTAGTTCGAGGCCAAAAATTATATGATGAAATGTATGCAAAGTGTGCACAGAAAAAATATATAAGTTGTTACAATTTTGTAATCGATATAATTGGATACTTTAAGCATTGTATGTTTCTGAACAATAGTAAGAATCCTTGAGACAAACGGTTTTGTACATACACAACATTTTTGTCTTGGTGGAGTGATTGGTGCACATGCTCTGTATACGAATTCACGATACTGCAAATTTTTAATATAAGATTTTTCAGGGCAAAATTGTAAAAAAAAAAATTTCGTTTTGCTAATCTTGAGCAAAATGGTACAAGCAATATGCTGAATGCATGTAATTTACATGTAAATTACTTGTTTCAAAGTTAATTAGACAAGATTACTCGTATTAAGGCAAATCAATGAATCTTCCGACTGCTTTTTAAAATCTATGGAGCAGTGTTTGCTTTAAATTTAATGATGAGTTTTTATGTAAGTATCACACCAAGCGCCATTTAAAGTTTAAAAAAGAGATTTCTTTTTCTGGTATGCGTTGCTTTTTCCGACAAACAGTTTTTTGACCAGTGCGGAACAATTTCTAAGACGGATAAAATTTCCACATTAATAGCAGTCAGTATTTTGTGCGTTAATTATTCCAAATTGATCAAACTCTGCAAAGTTCGGTCGAGTTGTTTTCTTGTGATTTTTTTTTCTCATTAAATGCACTGAATCACTTGATGGTGCTTCATTCCTTAACAATTTCATTTATAACTATGGGCAAATTGCTTCGATTCCCAATTTTTTTTAAAATTAGACAATTATTTGGCCATGTTAAGCAATATTATGTAATATCAAGGACCTTTCTAGTGAATATCCTTTCCT